TTCCAAATGGGCTGGTGGCTGGAATTTTTGGAATAGGCAATGAAGTGAAGCTTAATAAAAGTGGATAATGTACAAGGAAATAATGGAGAATCTTTTATTCGTGTAAAGGCCATATCTGGTGCTCCTAATATTAAAGGAACTAATCAATTTTCAAATCCTCCAATTATGATAGGCATATCTAAAAAGATTATTACGAAGGCATGGGCGGTTACAATTACTTACATTATAAATGAATATATGACGACCCTTTAAATATGTATGTACTTAAGTTGGTGCGACTAAAGGAGTGGACTACGACTACAAACGTCTAAACTTTTATCAACATATCACACAGGAGTAAAATATTAAAAACTTTTACATTGATGATTAAAAAAAAAGAACTGAACCAAACATGTAGAAAAATTCTAAGCCTCAATAATAATATTTACCCGACGATGACCATGATGATGAAAATTACCAGAAAAACTTTATTTATTAATTTTAAAGATCTCAGTGGTTTTATATATCACATCAGAAAAATTCTGTATATTGAGTGAACAGGTTTATTTTTTCAATAATTCATTAATAAATATATCGTTGCAATACTTTAATGGTAAACCAAATTTTATACCGATTTCCTTACATGGTAGATGGTATGTATATAACAGCTGTTTTATGCGAGCATCAAAAGAAAAATTGCTAAAATTGCTGTAAAGCTATAACTCAAAGTCGAGTATTCGACGAAGTCGGTTGCAATATAAGCAACAAAACATAAAAAGAAAAAACCGGTTCGATTTTCACTTTTATTTGAGTGGTGCGGTAAATAAACAAAACTGTCGATTCTACCATTACTTTCACCTAAATTCACAGTTTGGGGTGGTTTTTGGTCTGGTGGAATCATCGGTCTGTACTTCTTTCGAAATATAGCTGGTGACACCGTTACAATAAAGAGCGGTATGGATCGATAATAACCAACTTTTTATCGCCGCAATTGGAAGAAGTTGATCTTGACAGCATCAGGTTCCAACAAGACGGGGCTACGTGCCACACATCACGTGCAAAAACTGCATTATTGTGAAAAAAGCTTGGAGATTCGATAATTTCAAGAAATTGTGACATAGAATGGCCTCCAAGAAGTTGTGATTTAATACCATAAGACTACTTCTTGTGGGGATATTTGAAGTCATTGGTCTTTAGAAATAAATCAGACTCTCTTTAAGCTTTAGAAGTCAATATTGCACGTGCTGTTCAAGACATACGACTTGATTTAATGGAAAAAATACTCGAAAATTGGGTTCAATGAATTCGTAGAGACCAGTTGAAAGATGTTATGTTCAGAACTAAATTGTGTCCATTGTACTACACATTAAATAAAAAACATTTGAATTTCCTTTACAATTAGTGTGTATTTGAGTTATATTGGAACACCCTTTATTATATGACAGCAATAGACGCTAAGATATTTTCTAACAACCGAAGACAACCTGCTGTAGATGCAAAGCACAGCCCCTAGCTTAAGCAAATAATTTATATACGAGTATAGTATATTAATTTAAGAATGTAACTTAACATAAGTAGGTACTTTTAATGTACTATTTGCTTGGCATTCCAGTATTTCACTCATTATTTTGATTAGTAGTAGTACAAATGCATGTTTGTCTGCCTACAAACGTCGGCACTGCCTGGTTTCATTATTTGACAAAAGCAAATTGTGGTGAGTAATGCAGTATTTGTTTTGCTCAAATCTGCATTGTTTTCCTCATTTTCACATTCCCATTCAAAAGTGCATTTGTGACGTCAATTTGCACACGTCATCGGCATCGAACTCTCGATTTCATCACAATTTTGCGTACATAGTGACAGTTTGTTGAACTTTGGATTATTCACTACTTATATACATTGTAATGTACTGTTTTAAGAGGTCACTTGCACACGTCAGAAAATATCGCGCTTCGTAAAGACAACTGAGAAGCGCTGTAAAAATGCTTGAATGACTCATGCGAGTGCACAGGCTTATTTGCCAACCGTGCAATTGTTCAGTTTCTAAAGTAAATACAAATTAGTTCAACCATAACAAGCAAATTAATTTATGGATTTAAATTTCATAATATTAGATTATCTAGATTATTTGTAATGTTAGTCAAGTTATATTTGTCTTTAGAACATTTTTAAAATTTTGATCAAATTAATTTTCGTTTCGTTATTAATAATTTTATATCTAGCGTATCGATTGGAAATTTTTTACACGTCATTTTCTCCCCAAGAAGCTGCTCATTTGTTGAAACCGACCACTATAGACTTAACATAGCTGCCATACAAACTGAGCGATCACTTCATTTAAAAAAGTCCGACAAAAATAATTATTTGTCCGACAATTTAATTTCTTTTGGTATATCAAGATTGGAACCTGTAACTTTGTAAAAGTATAGAAATTAAGTTTCTAATGAATAACGATCATGAGTATTTCCAGCATAATCAGTCCTAACCAACCCGAATGTCAACTACAATATGAATGTATACTTATGTATGTGTCTACTCTGACAGCGGGTTGGACAGATAACCCCTCAGAACCCACATCTATAATTACAATATATGCGAATTTCTAATTCCAACATAACACTCAATTATTAAGTAATGCAAAGAGCACAAGCCGCATTACATTTTATGGTATAAGCGCAATAAATTTCATTAATCACTTGATGGAGATTTTAAAACAGCAACTCTTTGTGTTCAGCGCAGCAGCGACTTTTGTATAAATCAACGATAAAAGATCGAGTTTTTGCTATAGAGTGCGGCGATGCGTATTTAAACCAGTTTGATGGACAGTAGCTGTATGTATAATGTATATTATATACCAATTACATTTGCATTATTGAATTTTCCATTTTTTAGTAAAATTTTGATGGCGAAAATTTAATAAAATTTACTCCGCTTAACATTCTAATTATTATCGGAAAACCTTAAACGCTGTATGCCTTGGAAAGATATATAATACAATGGGTATAACATACTTATTTTCGAGATATCACGTATACGTAAAAGGAAAGTCGATTTTCAAGAGACTCTAAGTTTTATACTTTTGCGATCAACTTGTGTGACAAAACTCAGATTCCTTTAATTAATTTTTTTCTATTTTACAACTTCTACTCATTTGTGATATGTTTTAGATATTTTTACTCTTCACCTAATTTGGGAAGAAATAAATATAAATAAATAGTTAATAATTAAGTGTTTGGATCAGAAGACATATTTTTCATTTTCATTTAGCAAAGTTTTCACTTTTTTCTGTATTAATTTAAAGAAACCTTGTTGGATGCAATTTGAGATGTTTAATTTTTTTTTTTTTGTTTTTATACTCTTGCAAAATGTTGATACAGAGTATAATAGTTTTGTTCACCTAACGGTTGTATGTATCAGCCAAAACTAATCGAGATAGATATGGAGTTACATATATATATATAAAAGATCAGGATGAAGAGACGAGTTGAAATCCGGGTGACTGACTGTCTGTCCGTCCATCTGTTGTTGTTGCTGTAACTTGAGTAAAAATTGAGATACATATCTTGATGAAACTTTATACACATGTTTCTTGGCACCGTAAGAAGGTTCGTATTGTGGATCGGTGTAATAGCACAACTGCCAAGCCCAAAAACTCTATTAATCGCATTAGGAAGGGGCATCTGTTGTTTGATTTTTTTTTTTAAAGTGTGTGTGGCTGCGCCATCTTAACCTATTATTGTGCATATCTTCTAAAGCACTAAAACTATAATAAAAAAGTTCACTCAGGACAAATCTTTTAGCACCTCTACCGACGGTGTGAAATCGGGTGATAACCCCACTCACTCCCCATATAACGGTTTTGATAAAAACTAGTCAGAGACTTTAAATTTTGCACGTAGAATGGCATAATTAAGCTTAACCGGAGCCAATACAAAAATTGAATAATGGGCGTGGTTAGGTGGTAGATATATACGGAATTCGGAGAGATCTCCTTCCTCATAATATTATGTCTGTATGTTAAAAATAGATTTAACCGGGTCAATACTTCTCGTAGCCCCCATATAACTAATAGAAAGATATGTGAGTTATACTAATAAAATTGAGCGGGCGTCTTAAAGCGTTGCATCTGTGAGTGTAAAATGGATTAAATCCGGTGAAGACTTGCCCTATCCGCCATAAAACTAATATCAGGATATTTAAACATTCGGTTGACTTCACTCCTAATACTCTCATATTTTGACGATGGTATTGAGGTACCTTAATGAAAAACAGAGAACGTCTTTTTCTGTAAATAATATATAGTAATGCTAAAGAAAGATACAATCGCGTCTATACTAAACAGATTTTCCATGACTTTATACTGTATATATTGATCCATGAGTAAGATATCTTAGCAAAATTAACTGAATATATGTACAAGTATATTATATATATATACCATAGTTTAATGCCGAAAATATGTGAAATTGGTCCACAAATTACCCAAACTGCCATATACCTATGTAAATGATTTTCGTTATTTCGCCGGCTTTGAGCCTTGCCAGTTGCCAATAGTATAAAATGTTCGGTTACACCCGAACTTAATCCTTCCTTACTTGTTTATGTAAATATTTTTTCGGGCTTAATTTAATATAAAAAAGGTACTTTTTCTATATGTGATGTTTAACACATGGTCACATGATACAGTACATACATACATCTGTTTTGTTTTTACTAAATTTAAGTTAAAATTCAGTTAAGTGTGTTTTGTTTCTGATTCTCTTATCAAAATACCGAGTGTGCTCAGTATTTGGAGCTATTTTAAAAATTATATCGTAGACTCTTCTCCGTCTTAGAAAGCAAATTGCGAGCGCAGAAATGCCTCATGGCAGCTATTTCTTAGGTCTTACAGAAAACAGCTGCGAAATATTTCTTCGTACATATTCAGAAAAAAACGTTTTTCAAACGAAAATTATCTCGTATACACACACAAATACATAATCTATTAATTCACACTTAAATGGAAATAAATAGTTTTTGCATTATTTCTTTTTTTTTTGTTCTTTTACATACAAGAAGAGGCACAAGACCAAAGCCCAAATGTGCGTACAGGTGTTCGATTGATATTTAACGGTGGTAAGCACATCAGCATGACACGAAGGACATTGCATTCTTGTTGGGTCCTCGTCAAGTGGTACAATCGGTCGATTGTTTATGGTAATGAACACCGTTGAGGTTTGTTGTGGTGGTGGTGGCATCTCTTGTGGCAGCGGTTCGTAGCAAGTGGCTGGTGTGAAGCCTGGTGGTAGTAAGCTATATGGTGGTGGTCGACCGTTGTTGTTGAACATTTTCGCAAATTGCAACAAACAATAAAAGATAGTATGAAAAAACACGAAAACACTCGAAAAAGCTCGAAGTAACCTCAATGAAAGTAAAGCAATTTTTTTTTGTAATTCGGCAAATCAGTTAACAGCGCTGAAACACTTTTTTCGGGCGTTTGTCTGTAAGTTATAAAGTTAAAAAGATGTGATAGGGAGCGTTGCCGCCACCGCGATCGTTTCGATTATATTCGTTGGCAGACTTCAACTAAACTGAACTGAAGGGTACTAGGTATTCCGTCGGTACATAAATGTGTACATAGCTGTTGTTTATATTTTTTAGACCTACTCGCAATTTTATTTACGTAACTTCATTTGGCTTCGAACCTTTCTAGCATTTAGAAATTTCATTGCCATAAACTGTTTTAACAGCAGTTCTAAGTACTCTGGCGAATTCAGCATACACTTTAGGATTGTCTCTCACCGCAAGTATTGTTGAGACGTGATGGAAAATGGTTAGTTCTCGACGTGGCTTCTACTAAAAACTGCGTATTGTGGAACCCCGGAAATATCGCTAAGCTTTTTTCCATCACCAAACCTACGTATACGAAGGAGGAATTTCAACCAGCTGCTAGCCTGTGCTCTTTCGGATATGGCAGACAATTCAAAGTAATTTTTTTCGTTCAGATTGAATTTTCTAGTTTTAAAAGCAGAGTTCTGTACTTAGTGCAAACAATTATAAGATGAATTAACAGAAAACTTCAAAAGATTCGGGGTTCAGCTAGAAAAAACGTAGAATACCTTTCACAATTAAAATAGTTTCCATGTAACAACTTGATTTTGATCGAATCGATCTGAACAATTTGGTCGGATATTGTAGCTCTAACTTGGATAATAGTTCATGCGAAATTTTGTGAAGATTTCTCTTTAAATGAAAAAATTTTCTATACAAGCACTTGATTCTCATCTTTCAGTTTGTATGACAGTTTTAGTGGTCCGATATCAGTTCCGATAAATGAGCAGATTCTTTGTTGGTTCGCACAAACTAAGGTAAAAATTGACGATGAGAATGCATAGATAAGGTAAAACACCGAACTGTGAATTTTTATTATTTATTGACCCTAGCAGATGATTATATGGACCGGCTGGAACTATACGCTTAAGTATTTTAGTAAATATATAACATAATGTCGGCAGTAGCATCTAAGTTAACTGTAAAAACTCTTTCCTCAAAATTGTAGGCAACTGGAACTTAATTCACAGCCAATATGGATATGGTAGCACACTCGATCTACTGCAAGAGCTCAGTGCAGACTGAATAATAATAATAGGAAATATGAGGAACATTATCAAATAGAAGCTAGCGTCAAATTTCATTATACTTGTAAGATAGTGTTTAATTCAGTGTTTTTAGTAAATACATAAGGGGGATAGAAAGCTGCCTTGTACGGCGGTCGCTAGCGACACAATTTCGTACGACTATTCTAACGGGTCGTTGATCAACGCATTGTATTGATACGTTGTGCATCGTGAGGTAAGGCCGTCGACGGCAGGTACTCACGTAAAACACATTGTATACTGTCATCATATAATAACGGGTGTTTCTATTTTATACGTGTAATACGCGGTAAGGTGATATTTTGTTCGAAATTGGTCCTTTTGACGGCTGTTACATTATTTTACTCATTTTGGTTCGCTATTTCGTAATGAACAGACTTACTGCGGAACAATTTTTGGAACATGCAGAACATTAAATGGGCCCAAAACGAGTGACCACCGATCCCGATTTTCACAAGAAAATTTTGTTCATAAAGGCAGATTTTATAAAACAAATTGTCGCATTTGGAGTGATGATAATCCACAAACCATTATTGAGACGCTGTGACGTCCTCCTCTATGGACAAAGGAAATCATTGGTCCGCATTTCTTCAAAAATGAAGCCGGCCATACTGTTACAGTCAATGAGGAACTCTATCGAACCATGTATAATGACTTTTACTTGCCTGAATTGGAGAATGTTGATGTGGAAGGTCTTTGATTCTAACAAGATGACACTAAATTTTATTGAGCGCATTGTATCTCGCGTTGTGGGTCTGTGTCGTGACCTCCACGATCAATGCGATTTAACACCACTTAACAAGTTTTTGTGGAGTTGGGTGAAGTCACTTATTTACGCAGATAAGCCCGAGACGATTGACGCCTTGAAAGATAATATCTGGCGGGTTATTGCTGACATACGGCAACAACTGCTGCAAAAAGTGGTCGAAAATTGGGCCTTTCGACTGAAATTTATTCGAGCTAGACGCGGCGGTCACTTGCCTGAAATCATTTTTAAAACAAAATGGCAAACCCTCATCTATTTAATAAAGCTAAATTTTTGGCCACGACAAATGTAAAAGGCGTCTTTTTGTTTATTTATTTGGTCTAAAAAATACACTTCATACACAGTCTTATCAAACCGCTTTTATATATAATGACTTTATATTTAATCAAACATTATAATTAGTTTGCTTATATACAAACATCTACAATAATATAGGGTATATAGGTACGTATATATAAATAATTCATTTCAAATTTAATCAGTTAAGTAATAAAAACGATGACTGAATTGGAATTTTATTGTTTCTGCCGGAATGCGAGACAAAAATGAATACTATTTTTTTCTCCAGCCATAGTTTTAAGCTCAACTATGCAAAAATTAACAAGCAAATCACTAGCGCTGGGATTTTAAGAAACCGAGAATATGTAACCGTTCTCAGTAGCACCTAAAGATATGAGCGGTTACGTAAGTACAAAGTTTCAGTGAAATTAGGCTTCAATGCAGAATGTACGACTGATGTTGTCGTAGTTTATCTGATGTTACGGAAGATATAAAGTTATAAGAAATATCTGCAATTTAATCTTTGGTCTCGCTCATTTGGAGAATCGTATTTCCTTTGATTAGTTATTTTGTAATCCCCCAACGGAAAGATAAAACCATAAGTAAGACCAAAAAGGATGGGACTAAAGTATGGATTCAAATTCTTTATAAGAAAAATCGAACTCGCTGTGACCTCTAAGGTACCCATCTACGATGCAAATTTACTTTCTTTTAAGTAGATATTTCGATTTTGCGAACTTAGCGTGCTCAGTATATTATACTTGTATTATATCGACCATGTTACTGAACTCGTGCAAAATTGACAATGCGATCGAGATAAGGAAGTCCACGAGGAATTAAACCCAATGTTTTTATTCCCCAGAAGAGAAAAATGGGTCAATGATTTTGTGATCAATATTTTCAACATCAAATTCAAATCTACATATTCACCGACGGATCAAAAGTGGAAAGAGGAACAGGGGCGGGCCTCTTCTGTAGTAATTCAAACGAAAAAGGTAGCTTCAAACTGAATGACTACAATTCTGTTTTTCAGGCCGAAATTGTGGGCATAACAGAAGGTGCCAAGCTGGCTTCTGTTCTATCCAGCAGATCCGTATATCGTCTAGTGGATAGCTAAGCGGAAATTAACGCTATGCGTAGCACCACAACTAAGTCTCAATGCGTTAGGTTATTCAAGCAGGCAATAACTAGACTATCAGTTAATATCATCTGGGTACCCAGTCCTCAGAGCACCTACCCTTAAGATTCCACCATCAGAGATTACAAAAAAATTGCATGTTACAGGTCGCAGGAAAGTTTTATCAAAATCGTTCTGACCAAAAGGTCTTTTGTTCTTCTTATCAAAATATTGAATTATTCCGACTATAATTAATCCACAAAAATTTTTAGTAAATTTATAATATGAGGTGGACTTAACATTCCATTCCTGACAAGTAGATATCTCATTCTATTGATTTCGAACATTTTCCTTCAAAACATTTTAAGAATTGTGTAGATGAGCGAAACCTTAGACTTTTGGGTGTAAAGAAGCCCTTCCCAAATTCGTGACTTATCTTATCAACAATATCTCTTAGAAGAGAGTGGCAAAAAAGTACTCGCTAAATTTTCAGAAAGAAGAAGTTTTTAGAGATCAGAGGAAGTTCACAGCAAGGGAAAAAGAAAGTAAGTAAGTAGAAGTGACAGCTGTCTCAAACGGACCTCAGAGTCTGTTCTCGTGCTATTGTGTGCTGCCAGATTTTCGCAAACACAAATATATCCTCTTAACCAGAATTCAAGCAACAAATTGTTCTCCAAAGGGGCAAATTAAGGCAGCTAGTAGTACATTGAAATTCTCTGATCCACTGATCTACTTCTTCGGTAAATGAAAAGGATTAAGAAGTCAAGATAAATGATTTTTTGTGGTCTGAAATTGAAGATTTGATCTTGGTAAAAGCTCTTTCTACCAAAAACTTTTTGTGAGGCAAGTTTATAGCGAATATGGATAACTAAAATCAGGGACAGGAACCTCGTCCTCTCATTGTGTTACTCAAATAAACATACTTTCGACTTTTCGCACAATATTTCTAGATTAGCTTCCAAACTGCAGAATTCTGTACTTTTTAGGTCAAGGTATGCGTTAAACATATCATAGTGTAATGTACCGTAGAGCCGCGTGCGTTTAACCAATCACTATCAAAGTTATGCAAAAATGATAAATATAATATAATATAATGCAAAACAGGTTCAGTGTTACTCACAGTCAAAGGAAACCGAAAAACATACGATGAGTCGCTCCCAGTTAATTACGCGTGTATTACTAAGAATTTAGCGCCAAAATCCCCTAAATACCCTCTAAATATATTTATCGAGATGCAATGTTTATAATTGTAAGTAACGGTAAACTCACATGCATAGCAACGCACAAATGCTCATACAAAGTCGGCCATGTGTTGGTTCGTATACGACCAGTGTGCGCACACGCTGCAAGCAACGCGGACAGGTGAGCTCTTGAGCGCTTGGCCCTACCGGCGGCGCCTGTATGCCTCCAACAATATGCATATTCCAGGGGTGGCGGTAGGTGTAAGAGGGTGCATATGCTGGTGCAAATGTTTGTGGGCTTCTAATCGACGGTATCGCTAACATTGACGGCGTTATTACAAAAACTGGCGGCGGCGTTGCTGGTTGCGCGTGGTTAAGAGAAGTTTCTGTTGTTGTTGTTGTACGGTTTGTTGACACATTTTGTTTTAAATTATCTTTCGACATTTCTTATCACTGAATTTCGTTTAATTTTTGTTAGAAGTCATTAATTTGTTTTGCTTTTTTTCATCTCATTTTTAATGTGAGCTAAGTTTGTTATACTGTAAGGTATTTTATTGTATGTAATATATATTTTTAATACTTCGTGTCACAAACTGATAAAATATCGATAAATCATTCTTGTATGTGCAACACTTACTTACTTTTACTCATATATTCAATATTTTTCTTGATATCTATATTCGAATCTACTTTTATATAACTGTAATATTCTAAACTATGTATATCTAGGTATCTGCCGATATTTAACATTTTGGTAAGGGTTTCATGCAGAATTTCTCATAGTTTCTGGTAAAATATTTAAAAATGATTTTTTATAAAAGAAGTTTACGATCTTGAAGATCCTAAATGAACTTCTTACCACCATTATAAAGAGATGAATAAGGATTAGAACACATTGTTAAGATAACGTGTTCTCTTCTGTGTTCTCTGGGTGTGTAAGAAATGTTTGTAGGGTTGTTATTTACAAAGATATAATGCTCTAATCCTTAGAGCTTTAAAAAACCACCCTATTTCAAGTTTATGAAAATAAGTGAAATTGGACGACAACTAACTGTAATAAATTCCATCGCACTCCTTCACTTTAAAATAAATCGGATTGGAATCTTGCAAAAATAGTTCGTTTGAGATGTCGCACTGTCAAAAAAAAAAAAAAAAAAACAAATAGTCGAAATCGGGCCATAACTTTTCAAGTTCCCACATATCGAAGTAATAGCTGACTTTTTAAGGAACATACCCTTATACTATACAGAACTATGTATAATGTAAAGTATTACATCACCATCACATTACCATCTTAACGAAACAGTTTTTAATAACGGTTGCCATTTAGATATGGTGAGCGAACTAATATACTGTAGAAATTGAGCTATATAAAGAAGAAGAAGCAGACCTATGATAAAAAGAGAGGTTCTATACCTGATTTTGATCGGTCGGATTGTATGGCAGCTATGTTCTAAATTGGTGCGATCTAAACAATTTGTTCGGATGTTGCAACATGGCCTTGGGTCATAATTAACGCAAAATTTCGATATCAAAGCTATATGATATAGTGGCCTTATGGTCTCCGACGTTTCCATTTTGGTGTTATAAACTTCGTTTGCAAACTTAATATACCCTGTTCAAGGTACAAAAAAAAAATCAACAGGTTTAAGAAGGATTGCTGTAGAATAAACAATATGCAATTTTAGAAGAAATTGTGTGATTGAATTCGAAGTACATTTTATTGTCATGTTTCTTGAATGTTGGTCTTCATAAGTTACCATACACGACAGATTAAATTCATAATTGTCCCACTGTATGTCAGTTGAAGTGCTTTTCAAATAAGCTTTAGCCCGTATTTACAGAGCTTAACGTGATAATAAACTTTTAACGTATTTTGTGCTTTTTGAAAGCTCTTTCAAATACTGGGCAACAACATTCTGTGCCATTCAAACATTACAACAGCTTACTCTCAACTAAACACGATTGTAAATAATGGTAAGTAGCGGTTAATAAATGAAAAGCTCGCATTATAACGAGCTTTACATATTTACTAACCAACAAAAGCAGAGTAAAAGCGCGATGATATGTGTTCTCGTGTTTGGCGTTGGCACTATATCGGTCACTATGATCGCAGCACAGCTCGGACATCTCATTCTCTTCGGAGTTGGACCGAGCTCTGTCATTGCATTGATATTCTTTTTCTTGTTTTATTGTAAGATGAAATCAGTAATTTTGAGTTTAAGCACTTTTTCACAATTCTAATTAACTTCACATTAGATTTACGTTCTAATTTGGACTATCCGATTGTAAAAAAAAACAAAATTTTTGAAATTCTTTATAATTTTTATTTTCACTTTGACAGCAATTTTGAATTTACCATTTTGTTCGAAAAAAAAACAAAATTGTAGAAAATTATGTAAGGTATCAGATACTTACCAAAATTGTATGAATTATATTATAATAATAAACCACTGATCTTTTGGAAATTATGTGATCGGATGAAATATAAGGGATGCGCGAAAGTTCAACCGTTGTCTTAAATCTTCACCTATTTCTTTATTTGAGTTTATAAAGATATCTTCTGCTGGGGCAACGTGAGTTAGTATAGAACTTATTGGAAAGTAAAAATACTTTCATGAGTGCAAATATCTATGATCGCTAAGCAGGAGAATTTGACATAATCCTATGTATTATGACATGTCGCAACTTGTTGGATACTACCATTCAGAGTTATAGGTTCGCGTAACGAACTTGTGGGGCTTACGAAAAGAAAATAAATTTCTTAGGCGTACAAAAGCAATATTAGACCGAATCACATAATTCGGATTAAGATTTGGGTATTCAAAACATCTTAGTCAGATTAATAATTATTATGCGGTCGCTATATAATATTTTTCTAATAATTTAAACTTCTAATAGCGGACGCATATACTCTTTCTATGCGACTTCACTACATTTGACTTCAGTCTACTCAAACTCCACACACTCGTCACTCAAATTAAGTGAGTAAGCAATAAAGCTCAGCGCTTTCAAACAAGTTTAGCTTCGCCGTTAAATACCATATTTATACAAATCAGTTACATTTGAAATCTGCCAACAACAAGTCCACTTTTTATTATAATTAATATATTTTTTTCTTATTAAAAATTACTGTGCATTATGCCTGAAAACAAGGATCTCGTCGAAATCAATTTGAATACAACAAACTCAAAATCCTTAGCGTAGGGTTCCAGTTATAACAACAATATGAGTTTATTCCACTCTAAGGATCTTAGAACAGCTACTAATAGCACAATATCCTACAAGCAACATCTGTCGCTTACCGACGCTCCGAGTAGTGCGCACAAAGGTGATACAAAGGTGCTGCAGAGTATTTTTGGTGGCAGCATTGAATTTGTGCCCAACGCCTATAGTTCGCCCACAGATTTAAGCTGTCTGCGACAAATGTACTGTCCGGACTGTGAGCAGCGTTTACACATAGACACCATCAGTTATGATCGCTTGCTCTACTGGTAATGAGTGTGGTGTTAGATTTAGTGAGACATTTTCTGAGACATTTTTTTATTATTTTAGTTGCCTGCCCATATTTCCCTTCAAGTGTCTGTACAAACGTGCAATCGAACGGCGACAAAGTGGCAACAAAGTTATTTGCAAAAGCTGTGGTGGAAATTTGGGTTACTGGAAGCAACAGTGATTAGCTGATGTTGATGAACATCAATGTTGAGAATTTGTGCCAATAATGTGCTAAAAGTGAAATTTCTTTAATAATACTATAGTTATTAAAAATTTTGTATATGGAAATTATGTTTTTAAGGTGACTAATATTTGGGAGCACATGTTGTCTCTATCTCACTTAAATGTAAAAAATATTTTAATGAAATATTTTATACAAACTAAAACAAAATCGTTATTAATTTTAATAAAATAAAAGTGTTTTCAAAATAATATTCTCCATCAATGTGTTTGTTTTTAAACAATTTCTAAGCCATTTTTTTCTGTGTTTAGTGGAATCGAAGTGATATAGAGTTTCTAAAAAGGATATGAACTAGAACTGTGAGACTAGACACAATGCGAATTAAGCTAAGAATCGAACATAGTAAATTTTTACTACCAATATGTTCGAGAATTTTTTATAGATCCTCAACTAAGAGGTTTCCAATATCGCAAATAATTGAGATTTTGTTTTAACTTAGAGAGAAATGTTTAAGTAAAGTAATAAAGAATAAATTTAATATTTACTGTGGCAGGGACTTACTGGACCCTTACCCTGTTGCTGTTTCGAGGCATCTAAGTAAAGTTTAACTTTATAGTGCTCGTTGCTCCTCAAATAGCACAGTGTTCAATTTTGATGTATTGGTTAGGGGTACAATAAAGCTACAAAAGAGCTGAATCAAAGAGTCATGTGGGTCGTGCCGAGGATAAGCTCAAATAGCCCAGTCTCGAATGGAGCTGACAAATCAGAAAAAAAATAAATAAAATACCAGAGGAGTCCAGCTTTCCTGAAAAAAAAGCCGGACCTAACTAGCTGTTCCGATAAGAGGGCAGGTTTCAGGAGTTCCAAGACGGTCCAAAGACTAACAATAGCACTGGAACTGCAGCTAAACTTAGCTACAGAAAGGTAAGAACACCAGCGGTAGCCGAAAGCAAACCTAGTAACCAGATTCTGGAGGAAATGCCAAAGAATGGCATATCTTTAAGGTCGATGAATAAGCAAAACCAAAGTATGCGGAGAAGCGTCGTTCTGCGTACCCGTTCAGAAGGGTACAACTGCAAGCAATGAGGAGCTTACAAAGAAGCTTAAGGAAATCATTGATTTTGCGAAAGCGGTTCTATCTAATTTTATACTCGATTCGCTAGCAGTGGCAGCCAAAAGACAAGGGTCATAGGCGAAAACGAAGTGTGTGACATCCACGAAATCGTTTACAGCTTGGAACATGGAAGGATCCAATTTTCAGTTAGCAAAGTTTTGAGATCGCATGAAAAACCAACAACAGAACTATTAGCATTAGTGAAACGATTGAAGGACGCACTCATGAAACTAGTGACCCCATTTAACATAAAGAAGATATATAATTGGATATTAAAAACACTTAGAAATTTTAGAAATTTGCGGAAAGGGGCTTTTAAAAACTTATGACTTGATAAAAGTGCGAATTCTAGGTCTACGAACTTTTTATGTACGGCATCTAAAAATTATAATAAGTAAAAAAATTGTATATATTCAAGAAAAAATGTAAGTGAATGTTCAAATGTCAGGAAATAGGTTCGTATACTGTTTTCTAGTGCCGACATATGGTTTAGTTTAATATTGTTTAATAAACAAAAGCGGAATAGCATAAAAGAAAAATAAAAAGTGGAAAATAATGCTCTGTAATATCCCAAGTCTTATTTAATAAACCAATATCTAATATCAATAGTTTCATAAGCAGTTAGTAAACATGTAATGAAATAATAAATTTTTGCGCTGTCATTGCTACCTTTATTACACCCTCCTTTCTTTCTTCCAATTTCTTGATTTCGGTTTCATTACATTCATCATACACAAGTGGGTCAACTGGTAGCTACACATCGTACCAAATGTAACGGTAATAAATTCAATAACATGGACATTAATTTGCACAAAAAATCGACAGAAGTACAATCGTATGCGTAGGTACTTATCTTCAACTTAAGAGCACTCTTTTTTGGCAATGAAATTTAAGTTTTCACTGTGAATTGTTCACGAGTGGGTGTTGTGAAAACTGAGGAGTGACTTGAAAAAATATTCATACTTACGTCGACAATGTTATGAGTATATTATTAAGTATTAATTGTGGCTTTATTGATGACATCAAGGTCCCTTATTTATATTTTGATTTAAATTTTTTTATATATGAAATTACTTTACACTGTGCCCTACTAACATTAGACTCACATGTATTTATGTATACTGTGGTACAATTAAGAGCAAAACATAATTTTTATAAATATATCTGCATGTAATATAAAAGTAAAGGGTGTTCCAAGGATACAATTTCATTGAAGAACAAGAATAAACATTAACTTCGACTGCACCGAAGCTTTAAAAGCCTTGACAGGTTCTCTAGGTCTCTCTAGTTTTGATACAAGTAACCCCCAAGTCGAATTAAGATTAAATAATATGGAAAAAATATCATTTATAGAGATTTTTATTTTGATTTTCGTAGGTAAGTTTTGATGGCATCTATATGCTATATGTTCGACCAAATGAGCAACATTTCTTACTACAAGAATGAAAAATACATGTTCAGATAATCTTAGTGGGTACCCCTTTCAGGAAAAACATGAGGTAGCATCATCTTAATTTAACAATTTTTTATTGATTCTTCCACCCTTGCGAGATTATAGCTTAAATACCTCGGGGCTCAAACTATCAGCCACGTTCAAAACATTTTATCAGTACCTGAAGTCCAAAATCAGAAGTTTTCTGGTATAAAAGCTTGTCATTAGCTGTTCCAGAGTGATCCTCGTCTCGTGTTTTACATAATTGTGTAAGTGCTCCCAATTAACTTCAACTTTAATATTTTCGTCTGTTATTATACCTTGGGGATAAAAATGAATGCTTTTATAGGTAACTCTCCGATTATAAAAGACGTGAGTTAGTAAGTAAAAGACATCTTAAACAAACCGAGAGAAAATCTCTGAAACACAACTTTTTTAGGATATTAATAACTATCGGAAGTTTGATTGTAATTGTAAAATAATACTATACATCAAGTTAATCAGCGAGCTGCCGGTGATAGTCTTGCATATCCCAAAGTGTGTTGTAGCTGAGTCATATAAAGCTTTTCTGTTTTGTTTACATCAAAAAGTCCCTTTTTAATTATCGGAACGGATTGCTCTTTCGGAATTTTTATATTTAATTATAAGTTATAAACTATAAGCATTCTTGTCTTAAGCCCACACAGGCGATAACAATTAATATTTTCCATACATTCGAGCGTGGTCTATGACTTACGCAGCCACTTTTGAAATGAATAATAATCTGGAAAAGGTAAATGCTATTTGTATTAAAGCCTAGGCATCCACCAACTCGGAAAACTATGGTTTAACGGCCATCTGCTATTGCTGGGAGGATTACTCTGGGTTGGAGTAGCTGTGCGAACGTGCCAAAAGTGGCTAACACGACTTGAAAGTGATGACTTTGGCTTGGAGAACAAAGAAAGTACCGGGCGGCCAAAAAATTTCAAGATGAGGAATTGGAGGCAGCCGAACACATTCAAAATCAATACATTAGGTGCAATATGAATTGAAGCCATAAAACGTTGACGATCTCGCTTGCCGGAAATTTGAAGAATTTTGTTGCTTGAACGCTACAAAAAGAAGTCGTTTTTGTAATGGTTTTTGACTGGCGACGAAAAATGGACACATTACGACAACCATGAATACAAAAAAGTAAGAAAGGGCTAAGTGCGGGTATAACAGAGCATTTTATACTCTGGCAACTTGCAGGATCAAAGACGGGAAAATACCTTCAGGTGTTGGTAATATTAAAAATAGTACAACGAGATCGTGAATGGATTAAAATCAAATTTGGTGTCATATAAACTTATTTTGAAGGTCATAGTATCCCTAAGTTTTATTACTATATTTATTTTTTATTTAAAATTATACTAAAATCATTGGGGGCAGAGAAATGGAAGGACTGATTGCATTAATTTTTGACATTGCTTTGGTATACTAAAGGATGTTTCAAAATCGTGAATATCAGTTATATGGGGTCTAAAGCAAGATTTCACCCAATTTTATCAATTTTAAGCACAAAGAAATATTCTTATTGAAAAAACACGATCTCTCAATTTCATTAAAATTTCCACTTTGGCCGATATATGTGGTATAAAGTCAACTGGAAGTTTGAAAATCCTTATATTAGGTATTTGGGGGCTAAAGAAAGCATTTACCCGATTCAACTCATATTTGACACAAAGGTATATTGTTATTAAAGATTTATCCGGATATATCGATTAGTTTTTGATTTATATACTGGAAAGTGAAAGAATCATATGGATTTTAAAATTTTGTTACATTGAAAGCAGGCGTGGTTTTTGTTCAAGGAGGGCAGCGTTATTATCCGATTTCATCCATTGTACTATCGGTAGCGACATTTAAAAGATTTGTTCTGGGCGAATTTAATTATTGTATAGGTTTTTAATTAATGGTGTTTTTTTGGCGTGACAGTAGTCCGATTACGCTCATTACAATCTTTTTTGCGAAGGAATACGTGTTCAAAGTTTCATTACGATATGTCAATTTTTACTCAAGTTACAATTTGCACAGACAGACATATGGATTTCAACTCGTCTCATCGTACTAATCGTTTGTAGGTATATACATAACTCCATATTTAACTCGATCATTTTTAGGTGAACAAAACTATTATACTCGGTAGAAACATGTTGGAAGAGTATAAAAATCATATGACTCACCTGACTAACCAGCCAACGTAACGACAAAGCCGAGTATCCATTACGATCTGGGTGTCGAAAATTTGGCCGTTACTGCGCCGGCCGGGATGGAATCCACAAATCGCCAAAAAGATGAGAAAATGTTATTGCTTCAAACGGTCAATAATTTAAAAAATATTGTACATGCATAAATTTAAAAATTTTGAAATAAAAATACAATAACTTATCTTGTTCATTTTCTTGAGAGACCTTTATTTGGATCCATTTAATTTACAATAAGAACACCTGGTGTACCTTAAAACTGGCAACAGTAGAAGAAGTCGTGATGATTCGGACCTCTTTGACGTAACCGAAAGCAAAATTCCGACATTAGACAAACTTTTTATTTATATATTTCAAGCAAGTCTCTTTAATTTTGTATAAGTGCCTCCGATACTGCCTCACCAACGACCAAACAAAACATTCTCTCAACAAAATAATCAATACAAACGACTCATTGTTACTTACTCTCCTTTTCCACGCCGTACATAAATAAAAATCTCTCAGCGTTTTCTGTTGGACACATCTAATCTCCACACAACCAGTTGGCTCTGCTCATTCGAACAACAAAGACAACCGAAGCTGACAGCTAATTACCGGATTAGTTAAAAATTCCTGAGCAAAACGCGAAAGTGAATAGAGCATAATAAAGAAGTGAATTGTTTTGTTGGATAGTAATATAAACATTAAAAAACAAAAAACAAAATATTTCTGAAATTCAGACCTCGCAATATGCAATCCCAAATCGAACTGGTTGAAATAAGTTTGAGTGCACCAAATTCACCCAATACACCCAATACATCCACTACACCGGATAAGCGTTTCGAACAGGCCACCGATGCAATTTTGAATTACGTCCTCGGCGACACGGTGCGGGAGCGTGATGAGGATGATGCCGGTGTGGAAGAGTCCGTGAAGAGACGCAATCAAACCAGCACTGCTTGGGCACCGAAGTTTGAGGATGCTGGAAAGCCACATGTACGTTATTTTGCCGTTGGACCAAGCACCTATCAGATACGCTGTCCGCTCTGCAAGCAGCGTGCCGACAGTGAAACGGTGCAAATGAGGGGCATTTTGGGTCATCTCAGCTGTTTGCTTTCCACATTGTCCTGGTGCGTTTTGAAAGTGAAATATTGAGAAATTATTTTTTAAAATTTAAATTTAATTTTATTAAAATTTAATTATATGTTTATTCCACAGCTGTTTTCCAATATTCTCGCTGTCATTTGTCTATCTTTGCCTGCAGAGTCGCTTGAAGAGCAAACGGATGTTCTGCAATAGATGCGGCGGCCATTTGGGCTTTTACTGGCGGCCAACTTGAGCAAGAAGTTTTGGTTTTTGTACTTTTAAAACATATTTAAGTAAGGCTTCTAATTGTCTCGGTCTAGCTTTTGCAAATAAGTGTATGAATTTGTATCGAATAATATAGATGTATATAGTATATATCTTAATAACTTTAAAAAATAAAATAACTATATATTTATTTTGCAATTATCATATTGTATATCTTTTTTTCTTAAAGAATATGCATTTTTGAATTGAATTTCAGTTTTTTAAGTTTGTGAATTGATTTTTACTGTCTATTTCACTTTGCATATAAACAGTTCTACATATACACTCGTACATATATACACATGCATATTCTCGTATAGGATCACGTTGTCAGAGGTCTATTTTTATGTGGCAATGAGACTAGCGAAGAGTAAGTAATTCGCCGTAGGCAACAAACAAACAAAAAGAGCAAAATAATATTTCGAATTTCGCAAATTTTATCCAACTGAATCGGATCGTAACGGTATCCAAATAAATTAATTTACTCTTACACAAAATCTACATGAATATTTTTGTAAACCAAATGAGGAGCTGTATCAAAATTGTGAATTCGTTGGCAGCCTAATGTTAGTTATTGCCAGGAAGCTTGATATTTTGCTCGTTAGAAGTTTCGGAAAACCGGAATCGTTTTACAAATTCGTGACGTTTATTAATTAGGTAAATTCTGTCTACCAGGAACTGCTGTGTTTGCGCATCTAGTGACCACGGAGAATTCATTATTTAGAGAAGTGAAAATCTTAATAACTTATTTATGTGAAACCGATTTTTTTCAGGACCTTTAAGTTTTTTGTGATTCGTGAAAATATTTCGAATTGTCCGAAAGCATTATTTCTTGTTCGGATAGTCTGGAGAGATATCACTCACCTTGAAACTGAACAATTTTAGCTAAGCTAATTTTTTTTTTTGTGAAATTTCATTAAGATATCTTTCATATTGTCTGTATAAAGTGAGTCAGAGCGACGAAATATATGGTTCCAGAAGACTTTGTTTTCAATAAAAAATAGCGATCATCGACGCGTACAATTCGGTCCGTTTTTTTTTCGATCTCCTTATGTTAATGTGTGACGGCCTACTGAGAAATAGAAGAAATGGGTGCTCTGTATAAGAAATCTTTTCAAGCAACCTTTCTAACGAATGATCTTAGAAGTCTACTATTAAAATAACTGCAAAGTATTTAAAGACGGAAAATTTAGTTGAAAGTTGCCATCAAAGATGTCAGGCTATAACAGACAACTCAGCAGATTGGCCAGTATTAAGCTGAAATTATAATTATAAAATTTTTCTCAATAAACGTTATCTATAGTTTGGAAAACGAAAGCGTTATTTTTTGAACACACTGTATATCTATGTTGAACAGCTAATCTAATTGTAAGCGTTTAAAGAATAAGAAAATAACTGAGTCAGTTTATGTCACTGAAAAACCGCTTACTGCGGGAGATTCCGCGACATGTAGCCTCTGAAAAATTATTTTAAAGAAAGCTAGTTCTTCCGCAGCTTATACCTATGCCATAGAAGCATTTGGTTTGCTATTTATTGAGGCTTCTTGTCTCAAAATGAAATATATTCTAAAACTTATTGTCAAGCTAGAAAAATAATAACATAACATAAACAAAAAATCTGTGATTTTGTAGTATCACAGAACGAAGAGTTGATCACTGAAACATTTTCAATGTAGTGGGTGGTGTTTGCCAGGTAAGTAAATAAAGTATGAAATATTAATATCACTTACATATGTATGTTCTGATTTGATTGAGCACACAACTGTTGCTGCTGTGCCCAGATGTTCAGCCCAGATGCTGCCAACGGTCTTCCGCATTCGCCGAAAGCGTCACAGTATCAAAGTGTGGCAAAGCCAGAGCAATCGTATCGAAAACCTTAAAAAAATTCCTCAAAAACTTTTAATTGTAGAGAGCGAACGGCTTCTGCTCTTCATATATACATACATACCTATACAAGTATTTGCTTGTTGATCCCATATATAATCCCACAATTTTTATATTCCCCTGAATTAGTTTGAGTGGGCACAACCGAAAAGGCAGCCAGAGCAACAACAAACAGAGCTAAAATGGCAACAATGACAGCGACAATGACAGCGACAACGCCAACGATGCCAACAGCAAGAGCATCAGCATTAGCTAGCAATAGCGGCGATTAGAAATTCTATGTATTGTCAGTTGATCGTTTTGCTTTGACGGCATTTGCAGCGAAATTCGAAATGTGTGTCTGGTGCTAGCGCTCGCCAAACGTGTTGTGAGCTGTTAAAAAAAAATATTATTGAAATAAAGCAAAAAGTGTTAGAAATATTAGCCAAAATTTAAAATAAAAGAAGAAATTTCCGAGAACTTGCTTACGTCTTAGACTAGCGCTGTTTCGCAAAACAGCTGTCAAAGATGACAACCACACCGTCGACTGTCATTGTGACAATTGACAGTAACGATGGCGATCTGGAGGATGTGATGCCGGTGCTGCCTTCAAATGTTGGACATTTACTAGAAGAGCCTGTTGAGATACAATGTCCGGCTTGTGGCACGAAATGCTTGACCAGTGTAGAGCGGCAAGCAGTGACGTTTCTACAGAAATGTGTTGCTGTGATTAATTTTAGTCTTTGTTGGTAAGCCAGAGAGTAGTGAGAGAGTAGAAAATTGTACACAATCATATATACATAATCGTTTGTTGGTTCAGTAAATCGAAAGGTGCTTAGTGTTCATTTTCACTGTTAGCTGGACTGTGAGTTTAAATCTTGACCTTGTATTTTACCTCTTTCCGTGTTATATCCCACAAATCAATTGTCCCAGACAACTTCTAAAAAATAGTTTATATAGATAGCAAGCTTCTTATAGAATGCATAAATAAGTTTTTTATGGTCTAATTAGTAAAAATCCTTTTCTTAGCTGGTTAATACATCATCCATAACCATTCATCGAAAAATAACTTTATATTCAATTTCCACAATTTTCAACTTTAGTTATTTTTCTCAGTTCTTTTTTCATTTTTCCACGTAATTTTGACGACCTTAAATAGGTCATTTTCATCGACATTGGCTTTATGTATAGAAACACTTCAAAACCAGGAGGTAAGGGAGTATTTTTTCATATAAATGTTTATAATGTCAAGTAATGTTGACTAGTTTTGCCTTTAATATATGGGGTTTCACTAGATCAGTGAAAATGCTGGGTATACTGAAGTCTAAATGTTCTTAAAAAATGTAGGCACACTGATTTTAAAACCCGACGATCTCGGAGGTGGCCATTTATTTTAGATGATTCATACGTCTATTAAATCATCGTTTTGGTGTATTTCACCAGAAGGTCAACTATAGGCACTGGGGTCCACATATTTAGTACTTAGGGGCTTGAACAGTTTTGGTTCGATTTAGACAATTTTTGGTCACAAGCTGGCATACTTTAAACGTATTATTCTCGCAAAGTTTTTCCCTGATATAATCATTGTTGCTTGATATGCAAAGTGGAAAGTGAAAGAATCAGATGGAATTGAAAATGGTGTTAAAAGGTGCCATTCAAAAGTTTCAGGACTTTTATTAAAAAAACGAATATTATTTGTTTTTTTTTTGAAAAATTTATTGGTTGCCTTCAAAATAGTATCCTTCCGCCTGAATACAAAGTTTTGCACGTTCAAGAAGGTTATCGAATGACTTTTTTAGGTCATTTGTTGGTATAGCGTTGAGGATGGCGGTCGTCGCCTTTTGGATGGCATCAACGTCAGCATTCCGAACAAATAAAAATCGCAGGGTGCCATATCAGGCGAATAGGGTGAATGGTTGATGATATGAATGCGATTTTTGGTCAAATTGAATGTTGAATTCTGAGGTCTTTTTCGTGTTGTTTCAAAGTGTGTGGGACAAATCCAGCACAAACCTTTCTTAGGCCCAAATTTTCTGTCAAAATACGATAAATCGACGCTGCGGATATTGATAATTCCGATTCCATATATAATATATTTAAGCGATGATTTCGGTTTTTTTTTAATGAATTCACGCACAATTTCCGTGTTTTTTTCGTTCACAACATTTTTTGGCCGGCCCAAACGTTCGTCGTGTTCCAAGTCCTCCCGTCCCTCTTGAAAACGTTTAAACTACTTGTGAGTACGGCTACGGGAGAGACAATCATCGCCATAAACTTGTTTCATCATTTTATGAGTTTTGGTAAAAGTTTTACCAAGTTTAAAAAAAAACTTAATGTTGGCTCTTTGTTCGATGCTCATTTTCCGACCCACACTACAAATGTAATGTCACATGTAGCGCGATATCTCAGCTGTTATACAAGTCAGCTGTTATATAAATTTTATACGACAACACTGAAGAATACACAATTGAGGGATAACAATTTCAGACAGATGGCGCTACTAGAAGCCACGTAACATAGAAATATGAAAAGAACAAACAACCGTTAGGTGAATAAAACTATTATACTCTGTAGCAACAAGTTGCGAGTTTTGTATCACTTAAAACTAATTGAGTTAGGTATAGGGTTATGTATGGGGTGACTGTCTATCCGTCCGTCCGTGCAAGCTGTAACTTGAGTTAAAATTGAGATATCTTCATGAAACTTGGTACACATGTTTCTTGGAACCGTAGGTGGTTGGTATTGCAGATGAGCGTAATCGGACCACTGCCACGCGCATATAACGCCATTAATCAAAAACAAAAATCCCGCCTCTAATAAGTTTAATGTGCATATCTCCTAAACCGCTAATATATAATAACCAAATTCACTGGGAGCAAATGTTTTTAGCACCTCTATTGACGGTGTGAAAATGGGTGAAATCGGGTGACAAGCCCGTCTACTCCCCATGTAACGGTACTGTTAAAAAATACTAAAAGCGCGACAAATCAAGCACTAAAAATACATTAAATTTTATCTCTGGGATGGTATGAGATGACTTTATAGGAACCGCGTTCAAAATTAGACAGTGGATGAAAACTCATACCTTGGGATCTGCTTAACCGACTTAAACCAAATTCGGTGCATAACGTTCTTTTCATATTTCTATGTTATGGTGCGAAAATGGGTGAAATCGGATTACAACCACGCCTATTTTCCATATGACACCATTTTAAATACCACTTGATTCTTTCACTTTCCACTATGCAAATCAAGCAACAATGATTATATCGGCGTAAAACTTTGCGTGAATAATACGTTTAAAGTATGCCACTTTGTGACCACAAATTGTCTAAATCGAAAGAAAACTGTTCAAGCCCCTAAGTAAATATGTGGACCCCAGTGCCTATAGTTGACCTTCTACCAAAAATATCAATCAATCCACAAAGAAATCTCAAACGAGTATACCATTTGACTTTGCGAGAGTATAAAATGTTCGGTTACATCCGAACTTAGCCCTTCCTTACTTGTTTTTTCTTAAGAAAGATTTAAAACAACATTTTCCATCCCATAAAAATTAGTTTTAATACAGACTTATGATTGATTAGAAAAGTTTAATTTCTGCACTTCTCATGAACAAAAAATTCTTTAAATTAGTTTAGCAGTGTTTCCTAGTATGCACAGGTAATTTAAGTGTGGGTTTGAAATTGTGTTACTATTCTTAAATGTAAACTTAAGTACTTCCAGACTAGTCTTTAAATATAAAATCTAATTAATATGCATGACAACCGAGAAAAGCAGCAATGAAAGTATTTACGTAATAACGAATAATAATGCCCTCTCAATTTAGTAGTGTTTATAACCAATTACGACTTACAAATGAAGGCACAGACAAATACAAAAAATAAGTAAAATATGTGCAGTATTGCCCACTTAACTGAAACATGCTTACATACTTGTATAAATGAGCAGTTGAAATAAGCATAGAAAATTAATGTTACCTGCCTCTTATAACTGAAATCTCATCGATTATTATTCGCTATAATGACAGTTCATAAAAGTAGTAGGCCTTTCTATTCTCCTATTAATAAGTCGCTCCATTAAACGAAGTTTACGATAATTGATATTTGACATTAAACTTGTATTATTAATGCAAAATTTAAAATATTTTGTATCGATCATCCAATTGTTTGCTGCTAAATTTGGTGAATATATGTGGTCTCTGAACAGAAAAAGTATTGCAATATTGAAAACCACACGTCTAAAACAAACATCGGTTAGCTTAACAAATGAAATAGGTTTAGTGATACCAGGACCGCAGCGGAACATCTCGATTCTCAATATATTAAATATTCCTATCTTCTCATCTGTTGTCATGGCTGCTATGGAAGTATTTTTAATGATTTCTTCTTTTTTAGTCTTGTTACAAAAGATATTAGTTATTTACTGGTAAAGACTACATGTAAAATTTCCATAGTGAGTTTCTGCTGCTACAATAACAACAAACTTAAGCGGTTTTACTCAATACTATATGTGTTTTTTGTTATCGAGTTTTCATTTTCAAAAACTATTGTTTTTTTTTTTTTGAATGAATAGTGGTAGATAACACAGCTCACAGCAGATTTGCACGCTGAAAAAATTTCTATAATTTACAATTTATTCTAGTCGCTTACATACTCTCTGGGGAAGCATCTCACCCTCGTGTTAATAAATTTATTTTTGGGTCCAATTTTTAAAATCGCATATCTTCGAGTTTCGAATAAATCTAAAACTCTTTAATATATTTACATTAAGTACATGAATATTTATGTTTTCGAAAATTTCCAAACCGACCTAAGCCACTCAGCGGAGAATTTAGGGGATTTGTACAATTTTCCAAATGCTTTCATAAACTTGTTCGCGCGGTATCTCCATTGTTTACAATATTTACGCTCCAACTATTATGTAAAATTTATGATTTTATAAATTTACATATATTTATGAGTATGTATCTACAATTTACATTTATATGCACTGAAGCAATCCCATACGCTGGAGTGGTCGTCATGACGTCAATCATTATTGCAGCGAGTGTGGCTGTTACATTGGCCGTTACATAACCTTGAGCTGGTACAAACGACAGTTGTTCAAGATGCAGCACTCGGATGTGGTGTTAGAAAACAGGTGGCAACGTTTTTGCAAAGTCGAAAAAGAGGCGCTTGATAATACAATACTAGCGAAGCAGCAACCGAAGGAGCTGATGAAATTGAGGACGACGAAGACGGACGAAGAGAGTGATTGAAGGAGAGACTTTTAAGCATAAAATGCTAGATATGGATATAATTTTTTATTTTATTTTTTTATTTTTGTAATTTTATTGTATTTAAATAAATATTTATATTCAGAAAGTTGTTCAAGTGGTTATTTTGAAGAAATTTTATAAAAAAAACTTTCTAAAATTAAGAAATTATAATTTATATTTTTTTTGCTTTATAGATTTATTAAAACTAAATTATTAATTTAATAAAATTAATATTAATTAAAAAAATGACAATAATTTAGAGGAAAACAGTAATTATTATTTTGATCTATTTTACTTTTAAAATTTACCATATTATGTTACCTATAATTAAGTTTTTATTTGAATATGTACCTGGTTCCATCGAAGCTCTTTAACTAATATTGGAATAAAATTATATTTTTCCGAGCAGCCCGCCTACCTCACCTGCCAGGATCATTTTGACAAGATCTTGAGAAATCAACTGCGAAAGTCACTTATACTGGTATTGCTCAGATTTCAGGATTTTCTACTTAAACTACTATTCCAACCGATTTAGCATGTTTAAAATGTTCTCGATGGTCAGGGTAATTCCTGTTGAATAAGGGTCAATGCTCGTGGAAGCTAACTGCAAATATCTGCTAACTGCAAGCTCTGCCACAGTCAACAGCAGCATTGAATGGATTTGCTTAAATGCCCCTTTGGCATATCCATCACCCATATTCATTAAAATCCAGGTAGGTACCCAATATATTTCTTGATTCGAAATTCTTCAATTGGAAGCAATTATTTTCCTTCGATTTTCGGAGAGTCCCTCAGGTCCAATTTACAGCTAACCACTTCGCTTTAAGTCTTCGATAAGATCATTGATCCGCTTAAAAGTCTGTTAGATCTTAACATTCTGTTGTAATTTGCTTATTATTTATAACTTTCACATATGGTCTATCTTCTCTTATTGTTGGTATTATCTTTTATCTTATTCAACATGTAAAAGAACATACGAGTTTGAGGTCAACTCAGAAAGCATTACATACATATGGTAAGTACATTTGAATGCGGAGACATACCGTTCAAAATTAAGCAAAAGGCAGCCTTCTACCATAAGCTGCCAGACCACTGCAGTATATTTCACACAGAGGTCTTTGCTATTGGGAAAGCCGGGTTGCTAGCCTCTAATGCATCAGTCAAATTCAGAGTTAGCATCTACGTGAACAGCCAACCAACAATAAAGGCTATAACCTTGTTTTTCAAATCGGACAGAAGTGTCTTGGAAAGCAAGACAGCAGTGGAGAGTGTCGCTAGAAACAAGCGACTTCACTTCTACTGGCTGCCAGGTCACAAATCCAACGAGAGCTGAGAGATGAGATAGTGAACGGGATTACCTAGAGTAGTGGACGGCTGTCACCTGAAAGCGTAATCGACATTGGTATGCTTATGTATTCTCTTTACGATGATCTGGACAGGATCATGGCAAGGGAGATGAAAACGAGATGGAGCGATCTACATGGCTGCAAAACTGCAAAAGTTATGTATAAAACGGTAGATCGGAAATATACAAAGTTCCTACTGGCACTCGATAGAAAGGACTGTAGAAGCATGATTGGAATACTCCATGGTTGCAGTTTGGTGACGGTAAACGCTTACAGAATGGGTCTGTTAAATCGAGAAGACTGCAGCAAATGTCAAGAGCAAGGCAGCAGGGAAATAAATAAAATCTTTTGTGCCCTTGTCCCGCGCCGGTAAGGCCCCGCGCATCAAGCATTTTGGGCTGCGTCCTAAAGGGTGACTACACTTCATGGGCCACGTAGCGGCACTCCATCTGGATCAAAACTGGTCTATGCATGGCTTATTAGCTTACCAGACTAACCTAGGTTTTAGTAACCTCGTAGGGGGGAAATACTTCTCCCTGAGTTTGTTTTAGATATTTCAAATAGCTTTTGAAACATGTCAAAAGTTTGTTGATAAATATTATACTTTTTCATTATTCAGTGTTATTTTTATTGATCTAAACTAAAAACCTAAACAAACCATTTGTTTATACCCATACGCATATGATTACGTAACAGGTGGAGCGTGTAGCTATATTTTTATTTTTGCTTTTAAGCATCCACAACTAAAAACATACATGCATAGTTTGCTAAGTATGTGTGATTTTCCGCACGTTTTTCTCACCCCAGTGGTTCGCACGAAAGTGTATGGGAAAACTAAAAACACCAAATGATAAATTATTCACGCTGAGCGGCAATGATGACATCACACTATGCTACATTGCGAAGAACTTGATAAATTTTATTTTAAGTGGAGCAAAACGAGATCGCAGAGAGATGAGAATTTTGCGAACAATAGACCGGATTGTTTGGTGAAAATTGTAAAAATAACAATTCGAGTCTTTAGAGATAAGTGATTATTCTCACCAGAAGCTATACTCTCACGGCTCTCTTGCTGATCAGTGACCATTAAAAATTTCCATAAACTGCGCTTATTAATGCATGCCGCCCACCAACGCACGGTTTCAGCGGCCAGCAGCCACCAGTTCACTGCCACCACCTCAACGCGCAACAACACAACCGTTATAAAAACTATACATTTTCTAGAAAGAAAAAAATATATAATTTATCGAACAAATTTTGAAAAATCAACTTTCTTAACTAGCATGGAAACCGCTGTTCCAGAAGCCCCACAGCTGGTGAAGGTCAAACTGATACCGGCTCATACGTTGGAGGAGCGCAAGCGACACATTGTGGCCAATGTGGTATTGGAGGGTCGTACCTCCGTAGTGCCTTACATGGATGACGCCGTCAGCATCGGTAAAGTGACACAAACACAATTGCTCGGGGCCACAGCAGTGCCGAAGAGTAGCCACAAGCGTTTGCGCTTCTACTCCGTGGGTCCGCGTACATATCACACCAAATGTCCACTGTGTCAGCAGCACGGCGATGCGGCTGTGATGCGTGCGGCGGGCTTAAAGGATGCCACCTGTTGTTTGTCAACATTGTCGTGGTGAGTAAATATTTCGAGTTATTTATTTAATCCCACCTGAAGACATTATTGTTCAAAATAGTGTTTATCTTTCTTAATTTTGTGCGATTAAATTTTTAGTCTTAAAGATATACGAGTATGTATATAACCACTCTGTATAAACCATTAATATAATATCTTTAATTTTGTCAACAATTAAAATAAGAAGAAACATTAACTTCGGTTGCGCCGCCATTCACAAATATAAGAGTTTTCTTAAAAGAATTTGATTTTTTCTAATTAATTTATTTCTGCGCCAAATTTTGTGAACATACCTTGTCAAATAAAAAAGTTTCCCATACAAGGACTTAAGTGCGATCGGTCAGTTGTATCGCAGCTATATGCTGTAGTTGTCCGATATCGGCAGTTCTGACAAATCAGCTTCTTGGAGAGAAAAGGTAGCATTGTTCACTAGGAAACACGAAAGTGCAGAAGATTGTGCAGTCATTATTAAATGGTACCAGGCTAACAATCGGATATAAGGCAAGCTCCTTGGAAATAATTTTAAATAGGAAGCTTTCACTTTTCAGCTACACCACTTTACACCTGTAAAATAATGGTGGGGCCCAAATGGGGATTTACGGCTCGGGTAACTCATTGGCTCTACACACCAGTTATAAGGCTGATTATGAAAGACGGTATATTGCTATGGCAGCTAATAATGAAAGAACACGGTAAGGCGTATGGAAAACGTACAAAGAGCAGCTAGTATATTCATCAGTGGAGCTCTTAGAACAATGCCAAGTCAGGCACTAAACGTACTTTTTTATTTACTACCAACAGACTTGTTTTGCAAGCAAATGGTAGTGAATTCAGCTCTAAGGCTGAGGGAATCCTTCCTATTAGTCGCCTGTAATAAGGGGCATTCTAAGATACTTAATAAGTTCCATTTCAACCCAATATCACGAATTTTCGTAATCCTATAGAATTGAACTTAAATTCGGTCCCAAATATTGACTAAACTAAAAGGAGTGTTAACAGGTCACCGTATCATTGACAGACATGCCAGTAGACTAGAAACACCATATAATGACTATTGTAGAAGCTGTCAGGAGCAGAGTATAAAAAAAGAGGAGACTATAAAATATCTCCATCAGAATCTACACTTACCTTGGAGAGAGATGAACGTGTGCAAATTTTCAGATTGATAACTTAAAAACTGAGAAAATAGTCGCGTATATACAGACAGACATGGCTAAATTGACTCTTTATTGTAAATTTTGGCCTGTTTGATAAAACGAAGTACCTTTTAGTCCGCAATGTAGAATGAGATAGACATTTTTAATTATTTAAGGAATAAAAACCAATCAAAAAAAAAAAAAAAAATTTCTAATAAATTTTCTTTCTAATAAATTTTAATTTCTAATAAATTTTTTTTTTGTTAAAAATAATACATTTTTTTTTCAGAATGAAAGTGAGAAAAAAATTTTTTCGAAAAAGACGTTGTTGCCTTCAAATAAATAAATTTCACAAATATATTTTTTAAAATAAACAGTTTTAAAATTTGCAAAATTTTTATTACAAAATAGACTCATATTTTCGTTTTTCAGTTTTTTCTGTTTTAAATTGACACAGATATATAAATATGAACCTGACGAGCTGCTAGCATTTCAAACACGTTTTTTTTTTTTTTATTAAATATATAATAGCTATTATCTGCTTTAAACAAATTTTGCAGATTATTTTTGTTTTAAAATTCCAAAAATAATATATTATTAACTATAATTTTTGTAGTGCAGAAAAATGACTTTAAAATAAAGTTAAATGAGTTTAACATATTAATAAATTAATTTAATCCTTCTCACATAAAAAAAAACTATAATCAAAATTATATGTTTAAAAATTTAAAATCCTTAATTATTTTATTTTTTCTAAATTTCATTTTATAATTAATATTTGTTTTTATTTAAAATTCTTTAATTCCATTTGTAATTAATTTTAATAAAATTGATTCAGTATAAAAGTTATAAAAAATAAAAATAAAAGTTTCCGGTTTTTGTGTTAAAATCTGTATAAAAAATTAATACAATTACAATTTTTAATCTTTAAATTTTCTCCATTTGTAGCTTTTTCCCGATCTTCTGGCTCTGCTGCGTTTGCACCTGGTGCGGCTGTAATCGTGAGTGGACCACGAAAGGTATTTACTGCAGTAAATGTGGCGGCAAATTGGGCATACAACAAAGGCCGAAATGAGTGTCACAATAGAAAAATAAAGAACACAATTAAAAACAAATAAAAAATAATAAAAAATAAAAAAAAAATAAAATAATAATAAAAAAATAAATAAAAAACGAGCAAGTGAACTCGGAATTAGTGCAATATTACCCAAATAACAAAGCAAATAACGAAAGTGACAAAGTGAAGTAATAATAAAAATACTAATTTGTAAAATAAACACTTTCACCCTGAATTTAAGTTTAGCTGAGTAAAAGTGCAATAATAAATATGCATTTGTTAATAGTGCGCGCTCTCGAAAATACCTTTTAAATCGAAAATTCTAAAAATTGTTTTTTGAAACTTATACTTTAGTTTGTAAACACGAAACATATTTAATACACAATTGGTGTGATCTTTTGGCAATCTTTCGATCGACCATATCTTTTTCGCACTCTGAGCACCTCTATTACGTGCTCTGAGATTCTAGATGTGGGTGGTAGCGTGAAAACTTTCGCTCTCTTCACTCAAATATTATAAATATACTAGTTTTTATAGTTCTCCCTCACTCACCTGCTTATTCTCTCGCGCGCTCGCCTACTACACAGCGTCCACTGTTGACCGCATCTCAGCTACTTGTTAGCCGTTCGACTTTAGTACGTTTCTTTTATTGCCGGACGTGTAATCATTGCGCTCGAATAAACAATTATTTTTTCTACATCTTTCGCGAGTAATCAAATTTATACTAGATAATACGAAAGTGAGTGCGTTGTTTTTTTTGGCGTATAATTAAATATAACGATTAAAACATGATGTCGGAATCCAACTCCACGCCAATTACACCCGCGATCGAAGACAGCAACAACACACCTGCCGCGGCGAATAAAAATGCCAAGAAGCCTTTGTCTGAGAAGGAGCTGAAGGAGCAGCAGATTTATAATAATTTCGCCACACCACTCATTGGCACTTACCTCAATTTGCCACAGGATTCGGTAATGTTAAAATGTCCTGCTTGCGGCATTGTTGAAATGTCACAAGTCGAAAATGATATGAAATGGTGGGCGACGGAGTTCAATCGCTTCGTCGGCTGTTTGTGGGTGTAAGTGTTGCATTTATTCATTAAAAATATTTCTAAGTATGAATTAGTGAGTGTTGTTGTGGTACGGATTTTAAAAATTAAGTTTTATGGACAAATGTTTGAGGAGATAATAGAAAAAAGTGAATGGTATTGTTAAAAACAAACTGCAGCAATATTTTTGAATAACGAATTTAGAAGGTAGCTAATTTAACTTCTGGTTTAATGGTGTAAACGTTACTATTGGTGACTAAAAATAGTTTGATTGTTTTTCCTTGTATTTCCGAAGACAATCGCCGTGCCTTCTATCATTAGTTTGGAATTACTTTCAGTCCGTTGGAGATAAATTCGAAGCATGCAAATTGGTTCTGTCAAGGGATTCTTCTGTTACCAAACATAGTTTATAGTTTATTGTAGATTTGAAAAAAGTTACTTGGTGCCAAACTAGGATTGTATTTTAGCTTGCTCATTAATTCGAAATTTTGGTTGGTTAACATTACAAGGCGGATGTCTAAGAACTCTCTCTGCATTTTGTAGTGAAAGATTACGGATACATAGTCCGAAATACTGAATTATTATTTATTTTAACGTGCTTCACAGGAAAGAATTCTTTTTATTAATTTTTTGTCAATGTTCTTATTATGTTTTACAACTTTCTTAATGGTTCAGTTGTAAGTTGTAATTTGGAACTATGGAATACAGTTGAACTCAGTTGAAAAGATTTCTATGCAAAATGCTTTGTTTCATGTTAAGCTATTTTTATTACAACAAAGATAATGTAATATCTCTACCTCAATGAATTGCAAACTATATGCTACTTTTGTGTCGCTGTGGTGGACTAAGTGTTTGCTTTTGTAAGGGTATCATGTACCCATGAACAGAAAGGAGGCATAGACATTTTTTGCTTTACGAAGCTGCGGCATTTTGCGTATATATTGTTTTTTTTTTTCTAACAAACTATCGATTCTTTATGTCAAAACTTATATAGAACGGCCATAGTTGAAAGCTCTCTACCACTTTATTGAGCTGGCAAATATTGGTGATTTTTCATGGATTTCAAGTTGTCTAAAACAGAGGTAAATTTTTCAAATCGCACCAGTATAGCAAATAGCATCCATGCACACTGACCGATCAAACTAAAGTCCTTGTATGGCAAATTTTTCTTTTTGACAAGGAATCATCATAAAATTTAGCATCTATGGCATTGGTACCATGTCCAGATCGGACAACTAAAGCAAACTGACCGATCACAATTAAGTTCTTGTAAAGACATTTTTTTTATTTGTGTAGGGTATTGCAGCCTCGTGCAACCGAATTTAACGATTTTCTTGTTATACCCTGAACAGGGTATATTAAGTTTGTAACGATTTTTGTACTATTCAAAAGTCAGAGACACTAAAAAGTACATACCATATATAAGTAAATTATCGGCGTGACGAGCTGGGTTGATTTAGCCATATCCATCTGTCTGTCCAATAGCCCGTCCGTCTTTCCGTCTGTCTGTATATATGCGAACTATTCCCTCAGTTTTTGAGATATTGATTTGAAATTTTGCATCCATCCATTTCTCACCATGAAGCTGCTCATTTGCCGGAATGGTCGATGTTGGACCTCTATAGCATATAGGAATGTAAGGGATCTTTTGTATTATAGGTAAGGTATTATATCTTTGGTTCAACTGAAGTTAACGTTTCTTTGTGTTACAAGTTGCAAAAAAAGGATTTATTTTTATGTTTTAATTTAATTATATTCAAGATTAGAAAATTTATAAGCACAAAAATTATTATTTATTTGGACTTGATATAAATTAAATGTTGTTTTTTTAAACTTTTTTATTAATTTTAATTTTATCTAGAAAAAATAATAAAAATTTAAGATACTGCTACAAAACAGTTTAAAAATAATAAAATTTAAAAATTATTAGTTATAACATGTATTTGCTATTACTAGTGTTACCAGCTATTTATTATCCCTACACTTTACTTCTAGCACATTTTGTTGCTGCTGCTGCATGGACTACTTTATACCATGTAAACAAACGGATCGCAATCATTATTGCAAGAATTGCGGTTGCTACTTTGGACGCGCTATGAAGCACTCAGCAATCAAACCTAAAAAGCTGGTCGCCAAGTCTTGAGGTGGCTGTCACCCACACACAATTATTTGGAAAACACATACTCGTACATATTCCTTTACTGCCAAGGAGGCCGATTAACGAAAAACTCAAAACAAAAACAAGAAGTAATAATAAGAATAATAAAATTAATAAATATGTTTGCTTTCCACTTTTTGTCTTCACGAAAACGCTAGATAAAGCAAAGAAAATATACACATACACAATTAAATAAAAATATTTTTGTAAATATGTATGAATATATATGCATATAATTAAAAATATATAGCATAAAATCGTAATTAAGCGCACATATTTACGTTTCTATGTATATTTTTTTTGTAAGAAAATTTATATATACTTTTAATTATTTTTTACATAAAGCTTTCGTAAACGCATACATGAATTCTAGAGATGTATTGTATTTGCATGTGTAATTTAATAAATAATAAAGAGTTTGATATTTTAAGTTAAATTTTCATCAAAGTGTTTCTTTTATTTTATTTTTCTTTCACCATATTCGTAAAATTTTTAAATGTTCCAGAGAAAGGTGAACTAATTAGTGCTCACCATATGTAGGCTATGTAATGTATGCAAAGATGCATTTGCATATGCAATATGGATTTTGTATTTTTATTACTTTCACAATTTATTTGTTTTTGAATTCTTAACATTTTGCAGTGTAAAATTTAATTTGGTATATCGCCTTAAATTTGAATTTAGGTCAAGAGCGCGCACTTTGTAAATTTTCTACGTTTTCTTCGAATCTTGAGTATAAATTGTGTCAAACATTTTATTTATTTTTCGACGAGCTCATTATTTTCGAATAAATGTGTCTCATTCGATTTTATTTATTCTTCTGTGAGCCATTTTTAATTACAAGTTAAGAAGAAAAATATAAATTTACTCGATTAAATACTATCGAGTAAATGTATCATGATTCATGAATCTAACAGTTCAATGACAAATCTCGTCTTTTATAAATATCGTGCGGTAGAACACCAGAAATTATGATCAATTCGATTTACTACAATATTTTGCTTCGTGTCCAAGCTACTTATAATAATAAATAACTCAAATGAGATAAATTATACTTAATATATTGGGTATGTGAGTAAAAAGTCAACTATATCGGAAATAAATATATTAGAGAGATGAGGTTAAGACTAGGGTCTAAACCAATTTCAATCATACTCGGCGCTAAATCACATTTATGTTATGAAAAAATATTCACTTAATTTCATTAAAACATCAAACATACGAGTATTGATCGACATCAACGGTTTAAAGTCAGCTGGGAACTCGGAAATCGCTGTATTGAGGCTAGGGGAAGGTTCAGACTGATTAGATTTATTTTTATCATTACACAAATCTACTGAAAAACATGCTTTTAAGCAATTTTATGAAGATTACTCACACTTTGATTGACATATTCAAAAAAATGTCTACTAAAATAGCGAAAATCATCATATGTAGTATATGGGAGTTGTGGTAGTTCAGGACATTGTCGGCATTCAACTATAGTATAAATACAATATTATATGTTAACTTAATTTTGCTAAGATATCTCATATACTTATTATATATAAGGTTGAAAGACAACCGGAAGTTTCAAAATCTTATATTAGGCATATAGGATATAAGGGTAGTTGGCCCATTTTTTTCTCTCTTAGCCATTACCACATATTATTAACAGAAAAATATGACATACCTCATATACTATCAATTATATATGTATAAGGAGTAAAATCAATCTCACGTTTGAAAATCTTGATATTATTGTAGTTATCTGGGGCTAGGGCAAGTCTTCGCGCAATTTACATACAGGCAGGATTCACACCGAATTTCAGTAATATATCTCTCAGATTGACATATATCACTCAGGCATTGGGGTCAACGTAGTCGATATCATGGAGCTTGGTCATAAGATGGACCACCTTAAAGGCACTATTTTTGCAAAGGATTAGTCCGATATATTTATTATGCTTGATTTGTATATAGGAAAGTGAAAGATATACCGGAAGTTTGAAGTTCTTTTTGCCGCCATTTAGAATATTAAAAGAATGCGGCTTCTGTGCTATTATTCTAGAGTCGTCGGAAAAGCAGCTCAGATTTTTCTTATTTATTTACTTTACCGAATTCACCATTTATTTAGAGTAGGCAAAATCGGACCTTTACTTTTGAAGAACCCAGACTCCAACTATGTGGACCTCAGTGCGTATGACTCACTATGCCAAATATGTCGATCAATCTATGATATATATTATTGAATTTTGGGGTAAATAATTCTTTGATAGTATAATATTGTATCCTTGTGTCAAAAATGGGTTGAATCGCTGACAGGAAGTAAAATATAATAATAAAATTAAGGAAGGCTATGACCTTCAGAATAAGTTATTATGATACTACATTTGTTTGCAATCCACCCGAACTTAACCCTTCCTCACTTGTTTTTTGTTGGTCTCTTTCATTTAAATATAATTCTAACCTTAGGGAAATACAAAAAAAAATTCGTTCACAAAATATTAAAAATTTCTATTTTTTGTTAAACCACTAAGTAATTTTCTACATTCTCACTTTTGATTTTGCCATTTATATATTTTGTTGAAAGCCTCTTCACATTGTATTTTCATTTTCCCTTTTGTGTTGGCATAAAAATAGCAACACAAACTTACGCGAATGTTCAGCGTTCAGTGGTGGCGTGTGGTTCGCTGGTCGAGAGCGTTTATTTCATGCCGTCGGATGCTTTCGACATTGAAGCGTTGGCGGTTGTTCGCGGATTGCTCATCAGTGCTTGCCAATATTGTTTTGCGGCAGTGCAGGCACATTCTTGCAATTGATGTATTGAGGCCTGATGTATATTTGTATATAGTACATTGTGTCTGTGGAAGTGACTGACAGCGAAGCAAACGAGCGACGGTCAACAAAAGTGACCAAATATTCAAGTAACTGTGAAACGCCAATAAAAACAAGTGGTTGCGGCTGCTCGCTGGTGCTCAGCGGCTTGCTCGCTGCGCTGGTTGGATTTAGTATAGAACGAAGCGTGCTCACAGTCGCAAGTATTTACAAACAATCGTGTTTTTTCGTCACTGTTTCGATTGTAGAGCGAATATAGTGGGTTTAATTTAATTAAATTTATTATTTTTTTAATTATTTTCTTTTTTGTTTGCAATACTTAAATTTATATATATATATATTTTTTTTTTCAAAATAATTTTTGCTTTAATTTTTCTTTAAATTTGATTTGTTTTATTTATCATTTATTTTATGTAATTTTCTCCCGCTTCAACACTTCTTTCTTAACGCAGTTTGCCGCCATCCAGTTATGGTTCAGCCACAACAAAGGCTGCCCATCGTTCCGCCGCCAACTTACTTTGCTGTAGGTCCCCAGCCGCATGAGGTAACCTGTCCCTACTGTAAAGCAACGGCTAAGACCATAATGCAGCGACCAATACTGCGCTGCTTCAGTCGACGTCATTACTGTTCCGAGTGCGGTGAATATTTGGGCACATATCGGCGGCCGCAACTTTGAGTTCAATTTTTGCCATCTATTGGATTGTAAACAAACTAACTCCATATGTATTAATGTGTGTAATTTTTAAAATTTATGCATGTATTTGCATACTTTTAAGTTTTTCTCAATATTTAACACAGTTTTTTGACTATACATTGTAAATCATAACAAATAAATGTAAACAAAAATTGCATTTAGAGAATGTTTTTGAAATTTTAGTCATATTTGCTTGTGTGCGAATATTTTTTGTTATTTCTGAATTCATTTTATTCTTGAATTTCCCATTGTATTTTAAAACTATATATGTTCATATATGTACATATATAATATACATATGTATATGTGTATTATGTGTTGTTGGTTTTGTGAAATGATAGCCGAGTATTTAAAATTTTTCAAAACAGCGTAACTTTTTAGCGTTTACTGTCGCAGAGAAAACTGTACAGTGTCTGAATGTAATTCCAATTATTTTGTTGCCCTGAATATTAAGGGATTTATTTTTGGGTAGATTTTTACAAATAACATATTAGTTAGATTCGTTAGCACTTAAAATTTAGTTTTATGAGCTTTTATTTAGAGAGTGTTTATTAATTTTCTCTTCCATGGCGTCAATCGTTTTGGGCTTATCTGCGTAGAAAGACGACTTCACATAACCCGACCAAAATTGTCTAGTGATGCTACATCGCACAATCTTGGACGCCACGCCACAGACCTATGACGCGAGATAATGTGCTCAGCGAAATTTCCCTTCAATAAATCGATTGCTTCGTTGGCTGTATGACATGTTGGAACTAAAGGTCGCCCACATCAACATCCTCCATTCAGCTACGAAAAAGTCATTAATCATGACTATGTAGCGTTCCTCATTGACATCACTAACTTAGTATCACATTTTGTGTTTGAAAAGTAAAATACTCGATCAGCTTCTTACTAAATATTTGTCCATGCTGCCATCGTAAGGATTTCTATAGCACCGAAAAGTTTAGTTGACAGCTGTTTGAGATAATAATTGTTAGTTAAAATCATTCTTAGTTCGCTACTGGGGTTGCAATGTTTTGCACAATGCTGTATATATACATACTCACGTAAATTTTTTAATAAAAACTCTTCAACTGTCTTTCATTAAAACCAGTGGAAAATACTCTTTAAAGGGACTCGAATACGGTGGTCTCATCTTCACATCTACACCAGGTGAGACTTTCTTATACGATGAATTCCCTCAAACGATACATTTTTTAAGGGCCTATCAGTAAATTTTCGCGACGATTACCCGGACCTTTATTTTTATGAATAACACAGTTTTTAAAATATTAAATGATTTTAATTATTATTACAGAAGAACTACTATTAGTCCGTTTACTGAACAAATATAAAAATACAATAAGAAAAAATGTTAACTTCGGTTGCTATAATATACCGTTCACAAATACAAAATATTCTATACAAAATTGCATTTTTATTACGTTTTTATGGCAACTATATGCTATAGTGGTCTGACCTACATAATTTGTTTGAAGATTGATACGATCAACTTAGCTCGTCACGCTTATCAATTATATATATACTTTGTACGATCTGCGACGTTTTCTTTTGGGTGTTACGGACTTTGTGGCAAACTTAAGGGTATAGTCAGGGTATACAAATAATGTACTGACCATTTATGGTCGGGAAGATGGTGGCTGTTGACTTTTTAAGCGTCAAACACGATTTATCTCGATTTCCGGCAAAACTACGAGTCCTATAGAAAGAAGTTATATGATAAAGTTGTATCTAATAAAAAGAGCTATAACTTTTGATAATACACCCTTCTCAGATAACTTTTAAATTGATGTGAAAAATTACATAACCAAATTATTAGTTTTTTACTTGTTATCTTTAAAAAAAAATTTTTTATTAAATTCGAGGTAATCTAACCTCTTAATGTCCCAAACATTTACAGCATATAAAATATTTTTTTGTCTACTTTATGTTGACTTAATATCTAAAAAATTCCTAATTTTCAATAAAAAATCTCACGTCAATAAAATATTTTTTTTTTCAAAAGTCGGTAGGCTTTTTATTTGTTGAAGTATCTAATTTCTTATGGTATAAAAAGTATTTACATATTTACCACGGTAAATTTCCTCATATTTTAATACAAAATTAATTTTCCTTTAATTTTTATTATTTTATTTTTCATTTCTAATGGTTTGTCGATCTACTTTGATTTTTTTTTTAATTTTTTTAACATTTTCAAAGGCTTTTATTGAATATGAATCATCAATAATATCAATAATTATCTTCGAAGAATTAAGATATTTCTGAAAAGACAATTTAGTATTGTGTCTTTTTTTGTGTTTAATTATGTATGCATGTATGAGTTATCAACTTATCTTTTGCTAATAATACCGTATACATAATTTTTTTTTCTTTTTTTTCAGCACCTACCCCAAAGTGTAAGCAGAAAATCAATTTCAGGTGAGTGCCTTACATTTACTTGTATTAATTCTTTTATGCTTTTCTGGACTATGGTTGTCCAATTTCTGCTCTTTTAAAATCGGCGCAGATTATTTACTTTTAATTCGTCTAGTTTCCAATAAGCTACTATAAAAATTAATTTCTCCATTTATGCAACTGGAAAACAATTCTTCCCTCATATAAAGCTCTTTCTTGCCTAATACCAAATACGGAAACAATAAATTCTTTTGTCTTTAATATTTTGATATAGTACTCGTATGTTTGCAGTCGCCTACGAAAAATGACAAATGTAGCTGATGTCACCTACAAATTGGAGTGATATGTTGTACGTTAAATGTCCAAAGAGCATTATTTAATTAGTCGTGATCTTCAAGAAAGTACATAGGCATGCCAATTTACGTGTATATAAATGTACATGTGTACATACGTAAGAGTATTTAGATCATTGTATAAGATGCTCTAGATTGAATTTAAAAACTTTGTTAAAAATTTGTCAATTCCAGGCATATTTAGGAAATATTATATTTGAGTTTTGACATGCTTTAGACAATAATCCATTTGGCATCTTGAATATATCTCATTAAATGAAAAACCTTTAAATACAAGTACTTGATTCCGATCGTTCAGTTTGTATGGCAGCTATATGCTGCAGTGATCCGATATCTTGAGGAGAAAAGAGCGTGTGAAAAAGTTCGGATCGATATTTCCAAAACTGAGGGAATAGTTCGCGAACATGACCAAATCGACTCAATTTGTCATGCTGATCATTTATATATACCATATACTTTATAGAGTCCGACTTTTCTTTTTGGTTGTTACAAACTTCGTGGAAATTTTAATATACCCTGTTCAGGATACAATGTGTTTAAATTGTTTAACCACTTCCATTTTGCTTTCCCTATATTATTTTATGATTTACATGTGCCCTTGAAAGAGCCTAAGCCCGAGTATACAATCTATAAAAATATTTTCCGAAATGCTTTTGTTTGTATGTGTCATGAAAAATTAATTTAGCAAATGCTTAACAAGTAAGAAATTCAGAATTCCACACGAATACATCGCTACTAAATGAAATATATAAACACCATAACTACTCTAAATGCCACGAGGAAATTAAAGGCAAATATTTTGGCATAAATACGTCGGTACATTTGTACACGGACATATCATAAATACGCACGCATTATGTACAGTAATTCCATTAACGCAAAAGTGGGTGAGGTCATTGTAGATCAGTTTGGTAGAACAAAATTAATAATTCGATTGAATTTTTGCGAATAAAACACAGACCAAGTGTCTAAGCAATCATTAGACGAACAGACAGACAATAGAATGACGGGCCTAATGTCTGGCAATTAACAAATATTTATCTATAATTTAATCGAATGTCTGCCCAGATCGTATGTATGTAATTATGTATTTGGGTAATGTTTAGACACTTGAAGATTTCCTAATTTGCCTGTAAAACTTAATTAACATGAAATAATTTCGAAATTCAATTTTTGAAATTTTCAAACTATTTAGAAAGTGTTAGCCGTCAGCGCTAATTCAATGCAGTATAGGAAATTTGTTTGTATTTTTAGAAAAAGCGTGTGTTTCTTGAAAAAAAAAAAATAAATAAATATTTATTTATATTCTCTAATTCCAAAATATAAAAGGCCAACCTCGTATTAGATGCTTATTTTATTAGTTTGAAATTGAAATGAATCCGCCAGAAAATCTAGAGTTTGATCGAATGTACTCATCACTGATTGCTTGTCTAAAATTAGTTCTCTAATAATTTTTTGTCAATACTTGAACGAAATATAATATATCTTGTAATTTTCAGACGAATATTCGCCTACATTTGTATCTAAAATAAAACTATCGCTTCGAAGATCAGTTTTCTTAAAATAAAGTAAAAGTATTTAAACGGGAAAGATACCTCAGATATTTATCAAGACTACAAATACATAAAGATTGGTAACTGAATGTAGGTTTACAAAAGCAAAATGAATGAAATATCGATAAAATCACTCTTAATGACATGCGAGTATAAAAAATCAGCTGTTAAATAAAATGCTAGCTAATAATATATTACGAGTCATTAAATTAAGCTATGAATATCACCGATCCATTAGCAAAATACCTTTTCTCGCCCGTTGCTTATTTACTCTTTATATGATTTTCGGTAAAAAAATAGCGGAACGTATTTTTGTCATGCAAAGTAATAGCCGCGAGGGAAGACCACGTACAAAAGCATGTGAAGCATGTGAATTGGAAAGTGGGGTTTCTGAGGAATTGTAAGAAATCAATTTTTAGAAAATCTATTACTTATCCAGATATAAGAAATTGTGTCTAATTATACCCTGAACAGGGTATATTAATTTTGCCATGATATTTGTAAGGCCCAAAAGGAAACTTCAGAGACCTTTTAAAGTAAATATATGTACATAAATATAAATGACCAGCGTGACGAGCTGAGTCGCCGTTCGTCTGTCAGTCCAACGGTCTATTTTTGAGAAATCTATATGAAATTTTGTACCCGTTGTTTTCCCACCAAGAAGCTGCTCATTTATCGGAACGGTCAATATCCGAACACTATGACATATAGCTGCCATACAAACAACGGAACGATCGGAATCAAGTGCTTGTATGGAAGGCTTAGGCATGAATTATTGTGTAAGGTAATGGGCAATCTCCAAAAAAATTGTTCAGCTCGAGTCACAGTATCAAATACATAGCTGCCATAAAACCTGATCGATCAAAGTTCATGCAAGGTGTAATTTTTTGTTTTTGTGATTACTGATGTACACAGCTTATATTGAGTGATAAGGTGAAGATCACTGATCTATTTAGCGTAAAATATGGTATTTTTTTTATATGCGAGAGTGGAATTCGGAGTTCTAAAACGAATCGGCATGAAAATATTTTTTGAACGAATGGTCGATTGACAAAAAAAGTTTCTAGCAACAATCTCAGTTTGGTATAAACTAGGTTAAAAGTTACAAAATTACTCAAGTAAGTGCATGAACTAATAATTTTGCCAGAAGAAAAAAATGAGAAAGTGAGAGAACGCAAGCTATAACACGAATTTCGTAAAGCAAATGAAGGTCGGCACAGTCCCTACTGGCAACCAAAGAGTCAAAGAGCAGGTGGAAAATAAATTCACTAAACGAAAGAGTCTTTGCTGAAATTTCTTTTGAGAGCAATCGTGAGATTGTTTATTATGTGGGTGCGATCAGCACAGCATTTGCTTTTTCCTACAATAAGCAACAATACAAGTATATTTCCAATTTAGTATATGTTAAGCGCTCGTGATATACAAACTGAAACTGCATAGAAATAAAATATTTCCGCGGTGATCTAAAGTGGAGATCAAAGTGATTGGAAAAAGAATTGTTTGTTCATAACTTGCTTTAAATACACTACACGAAATGACTGTTGACGAAAAGGAATTTGTAAAAGTGATTGTTAAAGAAGAGCCTATAATTAAAACAATCGAACTAAAGGATATTGGCTTCCTCGAACAACAACCGGTGATCGTGAATTGCCCCGCCTGCGAAGCTGAAGCGTTAAGTATTGTGCGTTTGGAGGCCGTTACTTGTCTGCAACGATTTCTCAGTGCTACGAAGTTGTGGTAAATAATTGGTTTCAATGATATTCAAATATTTTACAATATTTCCGGGAAAATTAAAAACAGAATTCCATGTCAACCAGTTATATTGAGTCATTTATTAATTAAGCTTGTTGTGATAATAAAATTGTTTGTTTAATGTATTTATAAACGACGAACTAACGTACAACATGGAACTAATTATTCCAGTAATTAAATTTTTTAATTAAATTAATTTTATTTGAAACTTTTAACTTTTCATAAAATATTTTTTTTGTTACTTTCTGTAAATAATTTTAATTCAATAATTTAATATCTAGCTATAATTTTTTTGTTAGATTAAATTTTTTATTTGTAAAATAATTTTGTTGTTTTATATCTATCTATTATATTTTTTTTAAGCTTTGAAATAAATTTTACTTTGATATATTGTATAATTTTTTACAATTTAAAAAATTCTACCATCTCACTTGCTTTCAGTAAAAATTGGCAACGCCGCACGGATATAAATCATTATTGTAGCAAATGTGGCTGCTACATTGGCCGTTTTGTGCCGATCAATTGCAGCGAACGTTGCATATCGCGCAGCGCACGTAAAATGGCTGCAAATGATAGTATGTCATTGAAGACGCCGCCACAGGATTGTGCGGCGCAAGTGCAAAAGAAGCGTGAAGAAGTGAAAGCGAAACGTGCGGCAGCAAAGGCAGAGAAGGAAGTCGCCAAAACACAGGGCGCCACAGTGGTCGAGCAAGCGAAGGCGAAATGATGACCAAACAGGAAATTTTGACTAGAGCTGGTTGGGCGATAGTATGTGGGTCAGCGGATTAGTTAGAATTAATTCTATAATTTATATAATTATTTTTAATTTATTATAACTTGATTGAGAAAAATAGATATAGCAATTTGAGTTATAGTGCTGACGTCATAATAGCTATAATTGGTAAAAACTGGTAATGGACATCATAATGTTTATTGTTTACTTACTATGAGTGTGTTGCTTGAGTAAAACATTTTTTTAACCTTTAAAAACTCTTTTAACTTTTATTTCAAATTATACAAGACCATACAACAAGATAATAAAAGAGGTTTAGTTCCTAACTTTAATATTTTTATCTTAAAGCATACATATATTTCATAAAGTCCAAGAAAATGCATTATCTATGAAATTTTCACATAAATCACCTCGAATGATTCGTTCAATATTGTTTTTCAATTTTTATGGTCGCAAATGATGGCAAATTTAGCACGGACAGACAAAAAAAGATCAGAATTTTCACGTATTTTAATAAAATTTCAATACAAGCAATCCAACGTTTAATCTAATTTTCAATACTCTTATTATAAGGCTCGGCTGACATGACTTCCAGTGTTTTTAACGAATTTCGGTTTATTTTGGCTTCAGCTCACTTTTATTGCGCAATTCGCTAGATTGTTGTTGTAGACAATTTCAGTGTCATATTCATAAACCAACGTCTTGTTACCAGTAATACTGAGTTTGATGAATGTAATGTAATCAGCTACGTTGTCAAGCCTCTCTTTTGCGACCTCTACTAGAAATTGTTTTTGAAAAAGTTTAGGTCTTTTGCTACGAGTCTAGCATTGACACGCCTCATACCCAAAACATTAACCAAAATGCATTGAGTCGATCCATAAGATATTTTAATGCCAACACAACGAGTTTTAAGTCCTGTTTCTTTAATGATGAACCACATGAGTCGATTTTTGATGACTTCACGACTATCACTAAATGCTCTTGGCCACTCAAATATATCGTGTTCGTGATAAAGTGGATCAAACATTTCGTTTCGTAAACAAACAAACGGCTAGCAAACATACACTAGTTAACATATGCAGATCAAACTTTACAGGAACACAAAAAGAGGCTGCAACAATCTACGAGCCTAGTTTAAATTGACCAATGGTCAGTTTTTATGATGGTAATTAGTTTTTGTTCTCTTCAACTATAAGTTGTACGCAAAAGGTAGATTCATTAGGTTGACAAATCTAATATCTAGACAGATACATTTCTGTCGTCGAACCATACCGATGCTCTTCTAATTATTTATCAGTCTATATTTATGAGGTTGCAAAATTATGAAAAATTAATACGTTCAGAGGGCTTTATCTAATACACAATTTTCTCTCCAAAAAAACTACTTAACAGTGAAAGAGGTGATTCTGTTTGAATGCCGGCTAAGTTCTTTGTTACTAGTTTGGCATACTGAAAAGGTTTAAAAAAATAAATATAGTTCTTTGATCTCATAACTTATCATTATCTGGACAGTCTTCGCGAACTTCTTTAATTTTAATTATCTATATAATCTTTTTCTAATTTTAGATATGAAACTTATTTACATCGCTGGCTTATATTTTTTCATTTAAACCATTGTTGTTATACGAGTATATGTATACATATTTTATCGCTGTTAATTTTTTATTTCTCTAGTCAGGGCGATAAAAGATTTTATTGTTAATTTGGATTAATAATGTAAGTTACTTCTTTATTAAAAAGCCAATCGCGATTAACAAAAAACAGCATATATAGACATAGACCTACTAACCCATTTAATAACCCGGAGATATATAAGGCAAAGTTTTAAATTTATAAAAAAGCTCCCACAGCTTTAAAGCTACAAAACTTTCGATGGGGTTCGTATACTGGTACAATCCAACATAAACCGAATACATATTCTCAGTCAAAGTTATTGTGTACGAAAAAGCTTAAAGCACATATAGAAGCTCGCGTACAAAATATAACCAAAAAAGACATACTTGATACAGAATTTCTGATAAACAAATGGCAGCCGTTAACACAGGCAACCTTGTCGCTCTTTGTCAGCACCCGCAGCTGTACGCATATCGGACTCCTTTATGACCGTCTCCTCCGTCTGACAATACTCACGATTCGGCTTCACACAATTATTGGAGCGATCATACAAACCCAAGAAGGTCTTGCAATTCGAGCAATGCAGATACTCCTTATTGTCGTTGGGCAGCAAAAATGGCAGAAAACAGAAAGGCCAACAGCCGAGTATGCAGGCGGCGCAACAGGAATTATTTGAGCTGCGTTCGGTTTGTGTGCGTATGAGCGGACGACGATTGACGCCGCATTTGGGACAGTAGATGGTACCGTTGGCCGGGCGCCATTTCTCAATCGAGGTGCGATAGAGGCTGCGACTGGGCTTCTCGTTGTATGTCGGCGAAGAAGGCGTATGTACCGTGTAGCGACGTGTGTAGACACGGCTGGTGCCATTACTCTGATCGGCACGTACATCACAATCGGATATATCACGTTTGGGAACATTATCAACTGGCGTTTTAAAGATACCTTTAGTTAGACACATTGGCTAATGCTGTCAACGAATGCTATGATACTTACCGCGTTGCGAACGTATACGCATGCGCTCACGCGAAGATGTAGAACGTGGCTTGAAGCCCTCATATTCATCCGTACCTATGTCGGCTCCGCGTTCAAACATGGTGGGTTCCTTATCGTCGAGCGTCTCGTGAGGTACGACTATGTTGCCAGCCGCTTCGCGCATCGACTTTTGTCCGTTACGTGGCATATCGTTTTTACCGTTTTCAATGATTTCTATTTCGGGATGATCGGTGCGTATGTGTTCGAGCAACGCGTTGGTGTCGTAGCGTGAACACTCGAGAATTTTGTTGCATTTCAAACAACGCACATAATGCGTTTTAACCGGTTCGGGTGAGTCCATCGTACATTTTTAATGTTTAATTTACATTTGTTAGGTTTCTCACACAAATAACAAGAAGCCGAAACTAATTTTCAAAAACGTTGAGTAATTTAGTCACACAGTTCTAACCAGAGAGCTGATTGTAATAGTTTTAAATTTTGTATTTCATTAATTTATTTTCGTAAATATTTAGCACCGAAATTTTTTTGATACGTTTTAGCTTTTGTTTCACAACTAAATCTAAGGGCTTTTAGTTAGCCGCAGCAATTTTTTTAGAATACAGAGTGAAATTAATTGAGTTTTAAAGGTATTTGTTTCGGCAGCAAAGTTCAGAAAATGGAATATTGAAACTATTTTGCAGTAAAATTTTTTTCTTTATGTAACTGCTAATTGTCAGACTGGTTTACAGTTGTAGTTTTGACAAGTCTCCACAAAAATCGTAGAGTGTACTATGTTTTAAATAAAGTATTTTGGTTATGAAAAATATTCTACGTAAACGTATCATCATTCTAGAAGATATTAACACTAAAAATTTTAGAATGGTTCATTCACGATATTTAATTTCCTTGATGAAGTGAGTATGATAAAGAAAAAATTGCCTTCTACTATGTAAGTACAACCTCTATTGCCATTATTAATTTTTATGAAGCCTCGAATCAAAATGAGAAGTCCTATAAAAGTCACAAAATATTATCACTCATCTTGAGACCCAGCATTCTTTTTTGGATACTACTCGAGCGAATAGACCACGTCCAGCACGCAGTGAAAAAAATATAGCGGAGATAGCTGAGAGAGTCACAAAGCCATGGAGAGTCGGGTCGCCGCCGTTCGCAGCAACTCGGACTGACGTATGGAACGACTTGGGGCATTTTACGGCGAGATCTTGAGTTGAAAGCATAGCCGTGGAAGCCGCTCAACCTTACCCAGCGAAATCGCTGCTAACAAAGTATATGTGGGCGGAGAAAGGTTAAAGTGACAGTTATCTGTCAAGAACTCTCCATTAACATACAGAAGTGACTGCAGTTAGGGTAGCGGTAGAAGTACTGCTTCGATTTGCAGCCTCATTCAGAGAGGTGTGGATTAAATTAGACAGCAGGCAGTGCGCTTAAGGTTAGTCAGGGATTGTCTGACCTCACTAACAATAGCATCAAGATACTTTGTTATTACACTGTTGGTTGGAGGTGGTAGCAGAATATGATGATGTGCGACTGGCTCTTGATTACAACGAACCGGCATTTCTAGCTGTCAAAATGTCATAATTAATGACTACAAATATGAATCTGATTACCTAACTTAACCAATTTAACTCTATCGCCATTGCGATACTGTAGTAACAATCTGACATGCGTGCCAAGTATACCAAATTTTTCCAAGTAATACCGCTTTGTTATATCATTGTCATACATTTCCAGTTCAATCCACTTTTCATACAATCTCTGCTCTGAAACCTCTATTAGCCAACTATCTTCTATGCTTCTTCCCAATTAAATGCCTCCATTTTTTCAACGGCCATTTGAAGACGTTCTTATGTAAGAAATCGTAACAGTGCTCCCTGTTGCAGAAAATATGGAATTCCTGATGCCTTAATATGTGGTGCGACTTTCTCGATAATATGATACGAATTATCAATAGTAAATACAACAAGAAAACACTTAACTTCGGTTGCACCAAAGCTATAATACCCTTCACAAATACAAAAGGTTCCTTACAAGAACTTGATTCCGATCATGCAGTTTGTATGACAGCTATAGGCTATAGTAGTCCGATATCAGCGGTACCAATAAATGAGCAGCTTCTTGGGGAGAAAAGGAAGAGTGCAAAATACAGATAAACCAATACTCCGACAGACGGACATGGCTAAATCGACTCAACATTTTGATCATTTATAATTACGTTAAAGTCTACTTCTAATCCTTTGTAACATGAAGTTATTCTTTTGCGATACTCCCACGGCAGCTCATGTTAGTTCGAGAAAATTTAAAATTTTGGAAAATAAAATATTTACAAATCAGTTAAAAACCAAAGTCATTCGGTTTCCAGAATACCTTAATTGAAATCATTTGGTTTGTAAGAACGAAATTACATTAATCACACAAAACGCAGTTGCTATAGAGAAGGTAAGTGAATATTAATAGAAGAACCTTTTAAGAGAGCACCTTGGGCAAGAGTAGTAACAAAGTGAGAAAAGAGATCAACGTCCTGCAATCATCTTCGCACATAAACATTAAAAATGAAGTACATTTAAGAAAGAAATTTCATAATAAATCATTAACTTTATTCAAAACACTTCTGCTTTATATAAAACAGCATTTGGAATGACAGATTACCGTATTCATAGCTGAATATTTCTTCCAATGAATTCTGCACACAACCTACTGGATAGTTGTATTTAAATCATTATTTTTTTTAAATTTAATTACAACTGTGAAATTGTATTCGCATACCGAATTATATGTAGTTCCCTCAAAAAAGGCTGTAATTATTTGTTTACATAATGTCGCTATCGATGTTGCATGTTGAATAACCCTTATATAATCATGTGACCTTGACCTTTAGGTGATGCTTAAGTTCCTAGAATTCCTGCACTGCAAAGAATATTCACTTTACCTGGCAGGAAATAAAGCACAAGTCTACACAGTGGATATGGTTCTTCACACAAATGGAGGAACGGACATTTACAATAAGTTTCCTGCATCGAACATTTTTGTATTTCTGAGGTCCAGCATAATGTTACTCTTTTACTTCTGGATAAGAGCTAAAGGGGTGCCACATTATTTTACGTTAACTTTGGTAAAAATTATTCTATTTGAGATACCGAAAAACCTTATAGTTAACTTAAGTAATGTTTATATAAATAATATTCAATCCTTGTGGATATAGACTTTGGAATTTTTGAATAGAGATTCAGACGTGTAGTCTATTGATAGAAAGAAGTTTACGCCACGAAATTATGTTTTTTATAAGAAAGTCTTGTTTGACCTGTCGGTATTATGGGTCCGTAATACCACCATTGAAGGTGGCGGGTGGTATTTACAATGACTTTCCACGTAAGCTTTAAAAATTGATTCTCGAACGCCTTTGCTTATGCTTGCTGCGGATACTCTGCTCGTAAACAACTTGTTGGACCTATATCTCAAGCAAATCTCTGAAATGGTGTGTAAAGGCTGAGGTCAATATTATTACTTTTTAAGTTCGTTGGGGTTGGAAATCTAATCTAATCTCTAAGGAACCTGTAGTGATTTTAGGAAGTGCAAGGGTGCGATATTTTAGAATGTGTTCGAAGCTCTGAGATTTTAAGCTGAGAATAGAATGGATTTAAACCTTTTGACTCGATGAAGATAATTTCTAATAAATATCTTTAGACAGCGACACTTCGTCTCTCAGTGTCCTCTTGTAGCTTGTGCATACAGTTACCATCACAACACGCTGTTGTGGTTTATGCCTGACAATTTGTATTTATCCTTTTGCTTTTAAGCTCCGCTTTGGATTCGTACCGAATTCATTTACTAATCATTTTACCCCGAACAGGGTATACTAAGTTGGCTGCTGTATTTGTAATACCTTAAAGGAATTATATAATATATATAACTCAAGTCCTGGTATGAACAACTTCTTTATTTCATACGGTATCTTCACGAAATTGGGCCAGATCCAGATCGAACCACTATAACATCAAAATTACGATAAAAATCTTATTACTTGTATACCCGTTAGTGCTATAAAAGATGTACCTATGAAAGGTATTATAACTACGGTACAACCGAAGTTAACGTCCTTTCTTTGTTTCTAATGGGTTTTAAGCACTTTTACACTCACTTTGGTCTCCCTTCTGGTATATGGTTGTTGTAGGCAAGTTCCCGCGAATTAAGCTTTGAATAAAATGGAGTTTTTGTGCATTTTATTTCAGGTTTTTCCTTCGTTTGAACTGTTAAACCTTTTAATTTAATTACAATTTATAATATTATGAAATAGTTTTTCTTTTCTCACTTTAATTCAAAAGCTTTAAAACAGCAGCACAACAATCGTTGATGTCTTATGACTGAAGTTTTTTACTAATACAAGGTGCGTACAAAAGTAACAAAGTAAACTCTAGTGGCGCCATCTATATGTAGACTAGTGCGTTAGAATCTGCTATCCTTTATCGACTTCCAGTAAAAATTTCATGACATTCCATCTATTGGAAGTGACGTTATTGCGTTTTAAGTGTCAGTATGTTTTTGTCATCAGATAATGTAAAAATTGGTTAAACTTTTACCGAAACGTTTTAATTGATGTAACAAGTTTATGGCGATGATTGCCTATCCCGTAGCAGAGTGTACGAGTGGTTTCAACGTTTTCAAAGTGGTCGTGAGGATATAAATGAGAAATGAGCCGAAACCCAAAAAATCGCGCCTGGAGAAGTCAAAAGTGAAGACAATGCTGATTTGTTTTTATGATTCCAAGGGTATTGTCCACAAAGAATTTGTTTGGAGTTGTGAATCGTTTGGTGCGCCATATTCGACGTGTTCGGCCCGAATATCGCGAAGATGGAAGTTGGCGTTTGTTGCACGATAATGCGCCGTCTCATTGACCGACGCTTGTGGCAGTTTATTTGACCAAAAATCACATTTTAACAATCAACCACTCCCCGTATTCACCTGATATGGCACCGCGCGACTTCTACCTTTTCGGAAAATGCATTTGCCGATGAAAGGAAAGCGTTATGCAGACGTGGAGGCCATTTAAAAGGCTTGCACCGGCATACTGGCGACCATACCGGGCAACGAACTAAAATACTCGTTTGACATGTTTTTGGGCCGTGCAAAAAGCTGTATTAAAGCAGAAGAAGTTTGAATAAAATTAATTGATTTTGCCGATAAAACCATTTGTTCTGTCTTTTTTTTTAAAGTGCTGTTTACTTTGGAACGCACCTTGTATATTTAACTTGAAATGAGGGTAATGGATATATTTTCGGTTAAATGAAAAGTTTTTGAAAACTTTGTCCATTTGTTAAGTTAGTTGTTTAATTTATTATTAATTTAATTATTTTTGGTGGGAATATTATTTAGATCAAAAGAAACCGATTTAGAAATAATCTCAAGTTTTATCGTAATAACATTAGGAACACCGAAGCAAAATCTCAAATAGAGTACCAACAACAATATTTGCGTTTCAGGTTCAATGTACAGATTATTTAATGAAATTAACACAAACGTAGCGGCAATATCTTAAATGCGAAATCCATTGTAAGAAAATAATTCGATTAATTATCTGTGTTATATACAAAAATTTGCGTATGTACCATATACATATATTTTACATGCCACATATGCATATTATCAAGAGAGCTTTTATGTATAAGAACAGCAGCTGCACCGAGGCAAGCACAATAGGTGTAACTTATGCAAACAATGAACCCGAAAGGCAATATAAAAACATTGAAATATATATATAGTAATATACACATACT